ATATACAGCTCACGTGTCGGACCGTTAGTTCCTTGGTAGTACTCTTTGTTTCAGTCCCTCATCGCTGCCCATTTATATTGCATCTTCAAGCCTCAACCATCTTCGCTCATTTTGCTCTTTGCCTTCCCCCCCCCCCCTCCTCTCTCTCTCTCTCTCTCTCTCTCTCTCTCTCTCTCTCTCTCTCTCTCTCTCTCTCTCTCTCTCTCTCTCTCTCAATCTCTCTCACTCTCCTACATTCTTTCCTTCTTCCTCCCATTCTTTACCTTTGTTTGTCCTCTTCTCTTCGCCCCTCTATCTTTCCTCTCTCCGTTCCCAATTCTTTTCCCCCACTTTGTTCCCCTTTGTTATTCCCCTCCCTTCTATCCCCCACCATTCTTCCCCCCTCCTTTCGACTCCCTCTATTTCACCCCTTCGTTTTTCCTCCCTCTGTCTTCCCTCCTCCGTGCTTTCCTTTCTCTACTTTCCTGGTCTGACTTCCGCTCTCCTTTCTTCCCCCATCCATCCTTCTCGCGCCGTTTTCCCCTTCCTTCTTTCCCCTGCCATTCTTGCCATGTTTCCTCCATGGGTTCTTCCGACCTATGCATTCCCCCTCCCTACCTTACCCCCTCAGTTCTTCTTCCCTTTCCATCTGTTCTTCCTGCCGTTGTATTTCCTCCGTTTTTCCTCCCTCCGTTTCCCATCGGTCTTCCGTCCCTCCCCCGTTCTCCCCCTCCGTCCGTCCCCCCTCTGTTCTCCTCCCCTCTGTTCTTCTCCCCTCTATCATGCATCCTTTCTACCCCCTTCTGTCATCCCCGTCCATTCTTGGCCCCTCTATTCTCCTCCCCCCCTCTGTTCTTCCTCTCTCTTTTTCCCCCTCAGACCTGCCTGCTCCCTTCTTCCGACCTCCATTTCCCCTCTATGTCCTTCCTCCCTATGCTCTACTCTTTGTGATCATCCCCCCCTCTGTCCTCTTTTCTCTATCCTTTCTCCACCCCCCTTTGTATTACCTCCCCCCATCCTCTCCACTCACATTTCAGGGCGCCACATTCCAAGTCTTCGTGATTCAAGTTGGCATGTTCAGAGTCCCCATATTCCACGTTATTTTGATCTTGTTAGCTACATTAAATAATATCTTGTTTATCTTTGCATCTCTTTGTTACTGAATATGTTTGTTCGTAATGTTTTGTTCCCCCTGCTTGTGTGTGTACGAGAGTGCTATTTGTATGTGTATGGATTGTACCTTTCATACGTGATATGGTGTGTGCGGTGGTGTTTGCACATGTTGTGTTGTGCATGCAATGAGACGATGTGCAACGTGCGTAATATAGTTTGCGATCGTCGTCGCCGTTTTGGAAATTTGCTTCCCATAACGAGCATATCAATCTCCATTGTAGCACGATTGCATTAACGCATTGCTCGTTGTATTCACTTTTGTTATATCTTGTGACTTGTTTATTGTGTCATGTCTTGCACATTGTTAAGTTGTGTTGTGTTTGCTACGAGCGGTGCTAACATGCATTGTGCGAAATATAGTTTGCGATTGTCGTTGCCGGTTTGGGAACGTGTTCCCTTAATGCGCATGTCAATCTCTATTGTAGCACAAATGCATTGTCGTATCCGTTGTTCAAATTATATAAGTTATAATTTAATATAGGCTTGGTAGGTTGTTACTGAACCTTTCTGTAGGGGGTACAAACCCCTCCTTGTACTCCCCTCTCTTCTAATCCAACCCCTTTTCTCTTCTCAACTTTCCTAGCACCTAAAACCTCTCGCCATTCTCATGGCTCCTCCTAGCTCCTAGCTAAACCTTGTGCCATTCTATGGCTTCCTAGCTAAGCTAGTTTCTGACATGGTATCAGAGCAGTTCGTTCCGCGTGGGCCTGCTCCTCGCGTTTCCGCTGCGTGCTCGTTTCTCTCTCTATCTCGCGCTGCCATGGCGGCCGCGTCAAGCTGCTGTGGCCGCGTCGTCGTGCCGCGGCGCCGCCGTCGACGTCCATGGCGCCCGCGTCCAGCTGCTGTGGCCGCGCCGTCGTGCCGCAGCTCCGCCGTCGCGTCAAGATGCTGTCGCGACGTGACGGCGCCGTCACGCTGCCGCGGCGTCTACGCGACAGCGCGCGGTCGGCGTAACGGCGACGTCGTGCTGCCGTCGCAACGTCGACGCCCCGCTGCGGCATCGACGCCGCTCCATGACGGCGTCGTCGGGCTGCAGCCGGCCGCGTGACGCTTGTGGCGCCGCTAGACCGGCCGCCCGCATGTCAGCCTGTGGCGCCCCCCCCCCCCCCACCCCCCTCCTTCCCTTGTGCCCTCTTCCATTCCGCAGACGACGGCTGACTCCCGCCGGCCGTCCCACCGTCGCGGGGCCTGGCCACGTCACCGAGAGGTGCGGGTGCCGCCGCCGCTGCCGCTGTTGTCGAAGCCGCCGCCGCCGCCGCTGTCGCCGCTTGCGTCGGGGCCACACAGCCGCACGCCGCCGCCGCCGCCGCTGTCGACACTGCCGCCGCTGCCGCCGTCGCCGCCGCAGCCCCTGCGGTCGACGTCGCCGCCTCACGCGCCGTGGGGTCGACCGACCTAGAGTCGCTGTCACTGTGGCTGGAATGGGGGTGCTAGGTTAGGGGGTGTGGGTGTGTGTGGGCATGTGACTACCAAGCCTAGGGGGTGTGTTCAAATTATATAAGTTATAATTTAATATAGGCTTGGTAGGTTGTTACTGAACCTTTCTGTAGGGGGTACAAACCCCTCCTTGTACTCCCCTCTCTTCTAATCCAACCCCTTTTCTCTTCTCAACTTTCCTAGCACCTAAAACCTCTCGCCATTCTCATGGCTCCTCCTAGCTCCTAGCTAAACCTTGTGCCATTCTATGGCTTCCTAGCTAAGCTAGTTTCTGACATCCGTTTCATTGTGTTAACGATTATCTTGTTCATATATACTCGTATTAGTGTAAATTTGTCGCATTCGATGCATGTGAATGATCATCCTTCATATCGCATGCATTATGATGTTGGGGGAAGCTCATTACCATTCTTCTGCCGTACATCATCAACGAGGAATGGTGTGAGGGTCTCGCAATATTCTCATAACCAAATTTGTTTCATAGCAGGAATGTTGTCTTTGTTCTTACCATTCTATCGTCGTTGATCGACGATGGATAGTAGGATACTTTAACCATACTTGGAAACCGATGAAGATGGGGCGCGTTAGTTTTTGTGCAATAATTATGCAATAATTATGGGATAATTGTGAGAGGGCGAGTTGTGAGTTATGCAATAATTTTTATATATTATGGGAAAACATAAAGAGGACCAACAACAAAGACAACAAATAAAGGGCATATCGGAAATATACACCATACGAAAAGTACATGGGTAAGCACCGCATTATCCCAGAATTAATCGCATATGTTGTAAGGCCGGTTTGAAAATCAGCAGTGCACAATTGGTGCACCGACCGATTTTAAAGGGTTGCTACGCAACTCAAAAAAGGGAGCGTGCTTTGCAGACTGCCCAGCCAGATGTGTGATGTGGTGGGGGGAGGGGAGGAGGACACAGAACTTCAGCACCGACGTTCCTGCTGCGGTTGCTTGCCACTTGGGCCGTGTTGCTTCTCACCACAAAAGGTGCCTGACAAGCCGCCTTCAAAAGTTGGATTCGACTGGTTGAATGTGCATCCTTGGAACTGTGCCGAAATGTGCGATTCGATGTGAGCCATGCCTCGCCACACCTGGCGACAAGAGTCATCATTCTTCATTGTTCTGGGACTTCCTCGTGGATTGGCTGGTGTGCACCTACCCGAATTGATGGCGAGGGACCAGAAGATTACGACGTCAGCATTGAAAAGTTCCACGTTTGCGGCGTGCTTGCTGACCACGACAGATGCCTTATTCGACGCGATTCACGTGACGGACGGCAGACTCCCGAAATAGCCAATCAGGACGCAGAATGACGCTGCCGTGTTCCGGATTGGTGCTTTCAAGTCATAATTCGAGCCAATGGCCCTTATCCTTTTCGGAAAACGACACACCACCAGCCACGACGAAGCACCACAAAAGGGAACTCGATCGCGGCAAAACCTTGGAGTTGTGTGGCTTTTTCGAGGCTGCAGGGAAGGAAGTCCTCTGGTCGTACAGCAAGTCATGGGGTGAGAGAGTCAGAGGGGGATGCCAGGGTTTTGCTGGGGCAAATTAAATTCCTGACAGCATCCACGACTGGCTCCACATCAGATAAGCATCCACGTGGACGAACCCCGTTGTCTCTAGAGTCATGTTATTGATTCTGTGCCGTATTCCCTAGTTTTGGAAGGAGGAATATCGGGATCACGCCGATCATTTATGCCAAATACCTGCGCCTCCCCTCCTCGAACTTTGGATATGGATGAGGCATTGCGCGCCAGAATGTTGCCCCAGCATCTTCTCGCTTGACCACGCAAGGAGAATTTCTCGAAAATATTCAGGTCAAAGGATCTCGGCTCAGGGACCTCGATGCCAAACATCTGAACCCGCAGGTCGAATCGACGGGTTACCAGAGAATTCCTCGTGACTCTGAGTTGTCATACGTGGCGTCGGCCTCCCTCACCGATTGGCCAATAAACAACGGGTGACATTCTCCTATCACCGATCCCCAAGAGTCCGAGAGAAACACCGCAACTGGCCGCGTCGCGCTGGCGTCATCGTATCTGCCCAAATTTCTAGACCCAGCTCCCCGGAACAACGGATTCCCCTGGTTGTAACCAGGAGGACCCAGCCGATCGCCAGGCGCCTGGGAGGCAGGCAGAAAACCTCGAGGGAGGTTGGCGGGGCGGGCGTGTGGTCTGGGCGCCGTCAACCTCTAGGAAAAGGGAATCTTGGTTGGTTCGGCTGGGGGGATGCCTGCCACGCTGGCATGGACCTGGTATGGTTGACACGACCGAGCGGGAAAAGGGGAACCTGAGGCAAACGGAGCGGCGAGGCGAGGCAGTTGACGCAGGCAAGCAGACTGGAGTGAGCAGTACTAACTGCTCAGAGGAGGAACGGAAGACCAGACGATGAGGGGACTGCTCTTGCTCACTAGCTAATCTCATTCACAGCTTCAAATTTACCATCGTGAGTTTCAGTTCAGGCAATTATCCAGTTTCTAGAACCTCTCTTCAACCCTCTCTGGTCAGCTTCTGTCCGTAAGCTTGTATTCGTGCAGCGTAGCGAGTCTCAAGAGGTTTTCTCCTCGACGCCGTCGGTCCACCATGGCGACTTGCACGCTAAACCCTGTCGATATCATCGAGCGTGCCAAGGCTGCGCGTAAGCGCAGGCTTCAGGAGCTCTACGTCACGGGAAGTAGGACGAGGCACGCAACGAGCTCCCGTCTCGATGGGTCTCGTTTCGCGGAAACCGAAGAGGGTTCAGGCGATAGCTGGGATGAGTCAATTTCAGCCGACCCTTCCTCGGCCACGCCTCCCCCAGTCGGACCTTCCGTTCCTGACGAGTTTCATGGAAGCTGGGAACGCACCGAAGCGGCTGTAAATAAACGAGCGAGAGTTTCGGTCAAGGTGTCGACTGGCTCGGCTGCAGGGCCAGCTCCCGCGTTCGAGTCGGGAGAGTCCAGTGCGGGATGTTCCGGACACAAACGGTCACAGCTGCTACCCATGTTCTCACAGGTGCGTCTCTTCCCTAGAACCATCACTTCAGGAGTACGAAAGGAACTATCACTTCTCCTGCGAGAAGGTAAACTCAATTTTCCTGCTTCTGTGGTGCGTGTGCCTTTCAGGCGGCTGCGAGCTTGGGGTTCGGCCCGTCCGACCTGCTGACGGCCGTTATGCTGCACGACGCGTGTCAATTGCGCTGCCGGCTCGGCGGAGCGTGCTGCCACCGCGACACGGTGCAGCGGCACGTGCTCGCCCTCACGTGCCTCTTCGTCGCCCACAAAGCCAAGGCTGCCCGCACAGCCACCAATTCCCTCAGGTCCGTGACGTGACCCTCTCCGTTTGCGTTTCCGTCGAGCGTCATGCTATGTCGCGTGCGTTTTTCTGTTCAGTGTCGTGCTCGGGGTGTTCTAAACGGACGTGCTCCATGTCCTCTGTTCTTCCTTCCCACCTTGCAGTTCGGACGCCTTCTGCCAGACGTTGGCGTGTCTAGAGGGTTTATCGGCGGTCAAGGGGTGCATGTTGGAGCGACAGCTCGACTGGGTATCTCGCCTCTTCCCGTCGCTGCATTTGCCGGCATCGGGAAACATGTTCACACTTAACCTCGACATCGCCTTACGTCTTCTGCGCAATCTCTGGTGAGCATAGCGTATGGAAATGACATACTTTCTGGACCGCAGATTCCATCATCAGATATTTCCGAATAGTGGTGTTGCGGTTGTCGTTTGGACTGGAATCGGGGTGGCGTGGAGGCTCAAGGAACACGATTTCCAACGTTTGACATTTCGTCCCCGCAGGTCGTTGCTCATCCGAGATGGAAACTCGGCGTCGCAAGCTCGTTACCTCGCAGCCTTTGTGCTTCAGCTCAGGACGACGGCTTTCGGCCGCGCGAACGTTCCCCCTAGTATCGTAGCTGCCGCTGCCGACGTGGCCGTTCGCGGAGTGAAATCAACTAGGAAGCAGGTGAGGTTGGGGCCATAGCTAATAGAGCGTACAGAAGCGAGGCTGGGCTGGGGTTTCGGAGGGTTTTTTCGTTGCGACCTGTAATCTCACACGCCCTCGCGTTTCCTCCCGTCTCGCTCGGTTTTCGCAGGATCTGCTTCGCGCTTTCGCCCTGATGTCGTCAGCGTCGCGAAAGCCACACCATACTTCAGTTAAAGTCCCTCTCGCCAGGCGCGTTGTTGCTCTGCCTGCTGACTCGGAAGCGTCTGCGGCTGCCATGGCTGCTGCAGCAGGCGTCCTCACTGACCTCGCTAACTCCCCAACAACCACTGCTGTCGCAGCGCGGTCACTTGATATCTAACCTAGCTCCCCACACTCCGGCCGTTTTTACTCAGTGCCGTCTGCCCTTCAGTTCCGCGGTTTCAAGGTTCAACTGCGGGTTCTGATTCGCCACGTCATAGCATGCGACCCCTGCAGAGCGTGCCATGACATCCGTTTCGCCATGCCATGCCATCTCTCTGCACGAGCCTGCTATGCTACCTCCCATACCATGCCATACCACAGGAGGCCACTGACCAGGTGGCTCGCATTACTGGTCCTGGCAGGCCGGCCCAGCCACTGGTCCACTGGTCCTGGCCCATACGCACTGGCTATCTCGTCGACTAACCCATCCACGAGCGAAATTGGCCGCAGCAGAATCGCCTTCTCTCCGCTTGCGTGTGAGCCTTCAGCAGCAAACTTAGCAGCCGGACTCGCCTTCAGCAGCAGCGTTTGTGTTTCGTTTGGTTTGAAGCCGACCCCCAAGCATGCCAGCCCTCCTGTACACTCAAGATCAGCAGCAGTCTCCAGGGATGTTACATCGTCCTTTTTGTTTGTGCTGTGTGCAGCTGTACATAACCATGAGTTGATCTGTTTCTAGGTTTTAGGTGTTATTTTCCAATGTACAGCTTTTATTATGAAATGAATGGTTTTGAAGAAAGGTGAAACCAAATGGGCCTCATTGGAGCAAACTTCTGTAGCGTGTGACAATTGTGGTCGGTTGCAGGCGATCAGATCTGCTGTACAGAGTGGTGACGGTACGAACTTCAACAAATTTGTAAAAGCTCACACGCCCTAGGTCACTGGCGTGTGTTCCTTGAAGAACCCATCGAAATGAACCGGACCAGGATCATCTCGCATTCTGACATCTTGCAATGTGATGTCACATCACCGAAGCGTGCGTGTCAGGTTTGGAAGCATTGCCCTTTTGTACCGCTCGGTGGCGCCAAAGCCTGATGTCGCGATTCCGCTACCATAGGATCTAACTTACTGTCAGTGGCCGAATCTTCCGCTAGTTGCCCGCCGGTAGGCTAGCTGCTCGCGGATAGGCGCCATTCGCGCAAGCTGCGCGCCCGTACGGCTCATTCGTGCTAGCAACACGGCGATAGGCCTAGCTGCGCGCCGATAGGCCTAGCTGCGCGCCGATAGGCCTAGCTGTGCGCCGATAAGGCCCGGTCGCGATGGGGCGCACGGTGGTGGCGGACGAGGCGGCGATCCAGCGCCACGCGGACAGGCTCTTTCGCGAGAAAGCGACGTGGGAGGTATGACGTGGCGTGGCGGGAAGAGGCAGCAATGCTTGGTCAATTCAGGCACGGGAGGTGGAGGTGGGGGAGGGAAGGCCGCGAGATGTAGACATGCGGATTCCTAGGCACGCTTTGCGGTGCATTCTGCAGGCGTGGCACACGGGAAATGGGTTACTGGCAGCGCGATCACCTTTCTGTTTCCACCCTAACTGACTTCTCTTTTCGCTCCTGACTGCACCTTTGCCCCGCTGCCATTCCCCTCATTCCCCTCATTCCCGTCATTCCCGTCATTCCCATCATTCCCGTCATTCCCATCATTCCCGTCATTCCCCTCATTCCCGTCATTCCCATCATTCCCGTCATTCCCATCATTCCCGTCATTCCCCTCATTCCCCTCATTCCCCTCATTCCCCTCATTCCCCTCATTCCCCTCATTCCCCTCATTCCCCTCATTCCCCTCATTCCCCTCTCCCCCTGTGGACCAGCTGGGTCTGCTCATCGGCCGCTCCAACACCGTTCTCCAATCCTTGTCCGCCGCATCCGCCGCCGCATCTGGCGCTTCCCGCGATTTCGTCTTCGCGCTCGTGCCGTCGCCTGATGCCCATGAGGACGCGTCTCTGGCCGGCAATCTCCAGGAAGGTGCAGCGAAGGGCGGCAGAGACAAGAGCGGATCAGGCGCGAGCGAGTGCGTGAATGTGGATGGCGACTGGGTGGCGGAACACGCGCTACAGGTGAGCTGGTTACCAGGTGGGGTGGTTACCAGGTGAAATGGTACCAGGTGAGGTGGTTACCAGGTGGTCACGGGATATGAGGGCAGGGGATATGAGGGCAGGGGATATGAGGGTAGGGGATATGAGGGTAGGGGATATGAGGGTAGGGGATATGAGGGCAGGGGATATGAGGGTAGGGGATATGAGGGTAGGGGATATGAGGGTAGGGGATATGAGGGTAGGGGATATGAGGGCATGGCAGTGGCTCACCTGCTGCTGAGCGCCAGTGCGTGGGATGTACATGTGGACATGTTTCTCCGGTGTCTCTTTCTCTGCCTTGGTTTGTTCCCCCTGCAGGTGCCGCGCCTGCTGCTGGGCGGCACGGCACTGCTGGGGATGTACGCCGTCCCCCATGTGCCGCATGCCATCCCTTGTTCCCTTCACCCTGCGTCTGCTATCTCCTGCCACTCACCCTGCTTCAGGTGTCTCGGCTGCTGCTGGGTGGCACGGCAGTGCTGGGGATGTACGTGTTCTGCTCCGATGCGGCGTACAAGAACGCCTTGCCGTCGCTGCTGCAGGTGAGCACACCTCGCGTGAAGGCTGCTGAGGGCCTGTAACAACTCCATGCCGCCCCTGCAGCAGGTGAGTGAGCCTGGTCGGAGTGACAACCTGCTAAGTGCCCTGCCTGCTCCGATGCGGTGTACAAGAACTCCATGCCGCCCCTGCTGCAGGTGAGCACTCGTTGCTTACAGCCTGCTCCGTGCAGCAGCTCCATGCAACAACTCTTTTTCCTCCCTACTGCACTGCAGGTGAGTGAGCCTGGTCGGAGTGACCCGTGTGCCATTAGGAGGCCAGTTGTGCAGCAGTAGTCAGTCTGACAGTCTGCCAAGGCCAGCAGGAGGGAGACATGTCATCACCTCGCATTCAACTTGCAGTTTTACGCCCTCATATCCCAAGAGTCATTCCCATGTTATTTACCCACCCCCTTTTGCTCACCTCATCCCCTCTCGCCTGCACCCATCTTCCATCCTCTCCCTCTTTCACCCCCCTTCTCGCCTCCTTCCCCCTTCCCCCCTCCTCTCCCCACCCCCATCAGGCCCTTCACTCTCTCTCGGCCTCACTCACTCCGCCCTCCTCTCTCGCGGCCCTCCTCCCCCCCGCCCCCTCGGACCACCTTCTGCTGCACATCTCCTCCACCACCAGACGGTCAGACACCCCTGCCATGCCATGCCATGCCATGCCATGTTCGCCCTCATTAATCATGGTTCATTGCCATGCCATGCCATGCCATGCCATGCCATGCCAAGCCCTGCCAAGCCCTACCCTGCCATGCCATGCCATGCCATGCCATGCCATGCCAAGCCCTGCCATGTTCGCTCTCTCCACCCGTGCAAGTGCCACGTCACCGTGCAATGCTATGCCATGCCATGCCATTACCATGCAATGCCACGTGCAATCATGGTGCAATGCCTTAACGTGTTTGTTGCCATCATATGCATGTGTGTTCACCGATCACATGAAAAATAACATTTCACACTTCGTGCCCGCAATTCTCCCAGCCCTCTCATCCCCCCTTTCGCACTCTCCATGGCACCATGTGGCTCCCGCTCCCATCCCCGGCCCTATCCCATTGTGCTCCCAGGTCCACAGCACGGACATTGACACATCATCCCTCACAGCATTTCTGATGGCACCTTCTGACCTCCTGATTTCAAACTCGCGCATGCCCCTCCCCCTATCCCCCCCCTACCCCCCTCTCGTCCCCTCCCTTATGCCTCTAGGTCCACAGCCCGGGCCGTCGACCCATCATCGCTCACAGCACCTGCCATCACACCGTGTGACTCCAAGATCGCTCCCATCCCATTGCCCATCCTCGTCCCCTTCCCTACCCCCTTGTCCCCTCCAGGTCCACAGCCCGGGCCATCGACCCATCATCGCTCTCAGCGCCTGTCATCACTCCGTGTGACTTTAAGCTCGCTCCCATCCCGTCTCCAATCCTCGTCTCCTCAACTGTCCCCGTCCAAGCCCTGTACGCCGTCTGCCGCAGGGCTTAAGGTTTGAGTTTAAGGTGGTCGGGGTCTAGGGTTTAAGGTCGGGGTCTAGTGGTTAAGGTTGAGGTCTAAGATTTAAGGTTTGGTTATAGGGTCTAAGGTTTGGTTCTAGTGTTTAAGGTTTGGGTCTAGGGATTAAGGTTTGGGTCTCGGGTTAATCACCCAAGCTTCAATCCTGCCTGGCCCTTCGCTGTCCATTGGCCCTCTCTTCATGATGCTCCCTTTCTGTTACCCGTTCCGTGTTTACTCAAGCGGTCCTTTGTATTGCTGGAACCTGGGTACAAGCTAGGGATTCAGGCAAGGTATAAGAACAAGGACAGGTTAGTCGGTCTGGACAGTCGGGGGCCTACAGAGGCCCTTCGTGGGGCTCGAGTATGGCGAAGCAGTCCCCTAGGGACATGTCCGAGTCCGGGTGGCCCAGAGGGGGCCACTCGGCGGGCGAGGCCTCGTTCACCTTCCCGAGGTATGTTAGGGCTTGCCCCCTCTGGAGCTTAATAGACCAGCGCTGGCGGAACTGACTGAGCATTTTCGCCGCCTGGTAGGAGCTGGGGTCCGCGTTGAACAGTCGCCGGGCTCCCGTATGCACCAGCAGCTTCAGGAAGGTGGGTACTTCGTCACATGGGCAGATGTTTCCACGGCGAGGGGGAAGAGGCCCACGTACTCGGCCCTGCTGGAATAGTGGTCCACCTGTTTGACCGCTTGCTCTCTGGCCATACACCCCTGGCCTTTGCGTGCGTCGGGGTCGCGGTTGCTGATGGGGTCTGTGACCGTGACGTCGCAGATCCACACTGCTCCGGAGTCCCTGTCCCGGATGGCGAGGTCAGCCGTCTTGCCATCCACGGGGTTGTTCATGGCCACCTCCTTGGTGACGATGAATTGCGCATCCCAGGCCATCCGGATGCACTCGTCACGGAGGGCGTTATGGGTGTTGGTTCGGCCATGGCCGGTGCCGCAGTGGTACAAGTGGGGGTCCAGGATCTTCACCCGCTTGAAGCAATTGCAGATCTTGGGCGCGGGGAAGGGCAGCCCCAGACGGAATGCCAGTGCTATGGCAAAGTGAGGGGGGGGCATCTGTAGTGCGGCCTTTACTCTCTCTCTGCGATTCTCTTATTTTGCATGTCAATGAATCGCTTCCTCCCATCTCTCCCGTGTGTGCCTCTCTCATTCATCTTGCAGGGTGTTTTTGAGAATTCTCAAAAACACCCTGCAAACTCAATGAATCGCTTCCTCCCATCTCTCCCGTGTGTGCCTCTCTCATTCATCTCTTCGCCTTCCGCCCCGCTCCTCTTCTCACTTCCTCTCTTCCCTCTGCCTCGTCCTTCTCCCCCCTCGCCCACCTCCTCCTTACCCTTCTCCTCCCCCTTGCCCTTCTCCCCCCCCCTCCCCTCCTCCAGAGTACCAGTGATCACCCGCCCTTCAACCCCCCCACCCTCCTCCTCTTCCTCCGATTCCCCCTCCCCTCCTCCTCCCGCCTCCCTCTCACCTCCCTCGGTGCGAGCAGCAGCAGCATGTGCGTTGAGGCACATCGCCCGGCAGATGGATAGAGGCATGGCGTTCGTGGATGGCATGATGGTACGTGGGTGCTCTGGCGTGGTGAGTGCACGCATGGGGTCATGGCGTGGGGGAACTTGCACGAGAAGCATGGGGTTGTGACGTATATGTGGGTCCAGTGCATGGCAGCATGTGCGTTGAGGCAGGTCGCCCGGCAGATGGATGTCATGATGGTAAGGGTATGCCATGTCATGAAGCTTATAGGTGCTTTCTTTCTCAAGGTTTGATGGTTGCCCTTCGTACTGTCGCCCCTTCCCTCCCCCTGATTTCCGCACATCTCTGCTGCTCTCAGATGGAGGGGGGGGACGTGGTGGGGGGAGACAGCAATCCAAGAGGGGGGGCGGGGAAGGCAGGGAAGGGGGGTGGAGGAAAAGGGGGGAAGGGCGGGAAGAAGGGGGGAGGAAAGGGGGGGAAAGGGGGAGGGGGGAGGGGTGGGGAGGAGGTGGCATCTGAGGGGGGCACTCACGTGCGTGTGGACTGGGCACTACCGCCTTCCTGGAACGTTCCTCCTCAAGATGGTGAGTTTTCTGCCTCTCCTGCCTCTTTTCTGTAGCGAAGAAGTGTGTCTGCTGTGCTGTGCTGCATGTGCTATTTTGGCTTTGCTTCTCATCTTCTCCACCCCCTGTGGGCAGCAAGGGACCTCGTTTGACAGGTTGGTGACAAGCAGCTGGGGATATCGACAGGTGCATGGCATGGTGTCTCTGTCACATGGTCTGCCGGCGCTGTGCCTTGCATCGCCCTCGCAAGGTGCACAAGGCGAGGCATTCTTTGCTTCTGTCACCCGCCTTCCTCTGCTGCAGGCCTCAAGGACGGCAGGGTGCACGGCATGGTGTCGCTGGCCGGCCGTGTGCTCGCCCTGTGCCTCGCCATGCCCAGAGACCCCTTCTCCAGAGTGCTGCACGACCTCAAGGTGCGTTCTGCCTCCAACTCTCACGCCTCGTGTAGACGGTAGACGGCGGTAGACGATGGTGGACGATGGTGGACGACGGTGGACGACGGTAGACGACGGTAGACGGTGGATGCCGGTGGGCGGTGGACGCCGCCGGTGGACGCCAGTGGGCGGTGGACGCCGCCGGTGGACGCCGGTGGGTGGTGGACGCCGCCGGTGGACGCCATTGGTGGACGGTGGACGCCGCCGGTGGGCGGCGGACGCCGGTGGACGGTGGACGACGGTAGTTTGGGGTGCTGACTAGCCGTGCTGTAGGAGGGGCTGATGGCCCCTAGTACCTGTCAACCCGCTACTTCCTCCCAATGCCCTCTGCGTCTCTCGTTTCCCCTTTTCACGCTCCCAGGCCGATGCCCTTCGCAGTGTTGTGAGTCGTCTAGACTTGGTGCAAGAAGGGGAGGAGGAGCAGGCGGAGAGGGGGGGAGGGAAGAGTGGGGAGAGAGGGGGAGGGGAGACAGAGACGGGTGGAGAAATGAAGGGGAAGGAAGACGAGGGGGAGGGGGTGGAGGAGGAGGAGGAGATGGATGAGAGCCGGTTGCTCACCGCAAATCTGCACAGATTGCCCTTCACCAGGTGGAACCTGCCCCGGAGGGTGCTACTACACTGCGCTGTAGCTGTAGGGGGAGGAGTGAAGGGAGGCGGCAAGGAGGGCGGGGAGGAGGTGGAAGGGGAAGGGGGCTTGCTGCTCGCAGACTACTGTGAGGAGGGCGAAGAAGTGGAGGTGAGGCAGGGGGAGGTTGGGGGTGAGGGCGGGGGGAGAAGGGGGGTATATATATAGTGATGAAAGATGGGCTGATTGGAGTGGCAGGTTGATGACCTTGTATGGCTGCTCTGTGCAGAAGAACTGTGTAGTGATCCGTGTGGGATGGTACAGCCCTTGCAATTTGACTGCTAGCAGAGCCAGCGGAATGCCCAACTCTTTTCTCAACTCTTTTCGAATTGGACGGCTAGCTCATTTCCTCTCCTTGCATCTCCCCTTTCATCCGCTTCCTAACCCAGGCAACAGAGCAGCGGTGCAGTGAGCCGTGTGCGATGGTGGCAGCGGCAGATGGGCCGATGAGGGAGGAGCGCATAGGGGTGGAGCGGAAGGGGCAGGGCCACAGACCAGAAACGTGTTCCGCATTATCCATCCCTCAACCCCCCACAGGCAGCAGAGCAGCGGTGCGGGGAGCTGTGTGCAATGGTGGCAACAGCAGATGGGGCGATGAGGGAGGAGGGCATCGGGGTGGAGTGGGGGGGGCAGCAGGAGGGGGAAGGGGGGGAGCAGAGGCGCATGGAGGGCAGTGCTGCAGCTGCTGTGTGGCACCCCCCTGGAACCACGCTTTCAAAGCCACGCACCAGCACCCGCAGTGGCAGCAGCAGCAGTGGCAGTGGCAGTGCAGCCAAGAGTGCGTTACAAGTAGGGGCAGGGGAGACGGCTTCAGCTGGAATGGGAGTGCCGCTGATGCTGGCTGTGCTGGGGGCGCTGCTGGCCCTTGTTGCTGCGCTGGTGCTCGCCGTCAGATGAACATTTTCTCCAGAAGAGTAAGCTAGCGTAATCCCTTGGACAAGGCCCTTGCCATAGTCTGAATGAGGGTCTATACGCATGCAACCGCACCTTCATTCATGTTGAACGCCTTCCTGTTGACCCTCCCTGCCATGAGTTTGACCCTTCCTGGCGTGAGTTTTATACTCCCTTCCGCGAGTCTGACCCTCCCTGCTGCGAGTTTGACCCTCCCTGCCGTGAGTCTGACCCTCCCTGCCGTGAGTTTGACCCTCCCTGCCATGAGTCTGACCCTCCCTGCCGTGAGTTTTTGTTGTAAAATATATATATATACAACATGCATGCCTAGATTAGGAGGCGTAGTCATTATCTTTATTGGGGGGTTGTTGGTTGGGTTGACCAACCCCACATTTGGGTTGGTCAAGATTGAATTTGGTCCTAGACATTTGGTTGGCACTATTCCAACCAAATTGGTCCTAAGAACCAACCAATCACCAAGCACCACACTTAGTGGTTGCTTGCCTTCCAAGCAACCTCTCCCATTGGTCCACATTGTGACCAATCGGAGAGCACCACATTTTGTGGTTGCTTGCCCTCCAAGCAACCTCTCCCATTGGTCCACTTTATGGCCAATAGGAGAGCTTCCCTTCCAACTCTTCCTTGCTCCTTGTTTTGTGCAATAGAGCCTCTTGGCTCCCTAGTCAATACGCACTTTTCTCCTCAAAGCTAGTTCCTTCAGTTTGACCCCCTCCCTGGCGTGAGTTTGACCCTCCCTGCGGTGAGTTTGACCCCTCCTGCCGTGAGTTTGACCCCTCCTGCCGTGAGTTTGACCCTCCCTGCCGTGAGTTTGACCCCTCCTGCCGTGAGTTTGACCCTCCCTGCCGTGAGTTTGACCCCCCCTGCTGTGATTTTGACCCCCCCTGCCATGAGTTTGACCCCCCCTGTCGTGAGTTTGACCCTCCCTGCTGCTAGAGCGGCAGGGGATGCTGCTAGAGCGGCAGGGAGTGCTGCTAGAGCGGCAGGGAGTGTGGCTAGAGTGGCAGGGGGCGCTGCTAGAGTGGCAGGGGGTGCTGCTCGAGCGGCAGCAGGCGGTCCTAGTGTCGTTGAACCCTCAGCCATCTCCATCCACCCACAAGCACCGCCAGCCACCTCTAGCCACCTCCAGCCAGCCTCAGCCATTTCCAAGCCACCTCCAGCCACCCACAGCCCAGCCATCCACAGCCAACCCCAGCCACCCCCAGCCACCCCCAGCCATCCACAGCCACCCACAGCCAACCCCAGCCACCCCCAGCCATCCCCAGCCATCCCCAGCCACCCACAGCCACCCACAGCCACCCCCAGCCAGACACAGCCACTAAGAATCTTCCGCTGTGTCCTACGTTCCTCTGGCCAACTACCCTTGATCTCGATTTCAGTGCCCCTTGTCGAATGTGATTCCGCCCCACCCTCACCGTTGTCAATCCATGTCCCACTCATGCATGTTCACCCACTCTCCCCGCCCTCCCCCCCTCACCCCCTTTTTCATTCTGTTTCTTTTCCTTGCACCTTTGATTCGCCCCCTATCATGGCATTCCTCACCAGATTCGAATGTGACTTGGTGGCAAGCTGGGAACAATCACGCATGCAACGCAACCAATCCAAATCTTTCATTACTGCCCGCCAGGCCTCTCGTCGCTACTCTCTCCAAGGCTACTGGGTGTCTGACCAGTGGAAGGGAACCAGGCTTTTCGCAAGTGCCCCGAAATATGGCAACCAGTGGAAGGTCTTCTTTCCAAGCAATTACAGCCACCCTAAACCAATCCAGATTCATCCTGATTACATTCCATTCTGCTTCCCTTTGCAAAAAACTGGAAGCATTTCAGAAATGATCTTTGGCTCAGGCAACACAATGATTGCTGGATAAATTTGGAAGCAGACAACTCCTAGAAAATCAACAGCAGCAGCCAGGCCTCCTCAGGCCAAAGAGTCGCCTCCCCTGACCTGCCTGCTGCACGAGGTTCAACCCTGCTGCTCAACCCAAACCTCTTATCTGGTACCCTCCTACCGTGCCCCGGCCTCCGTCAGATAGCACGCCTCTGTTCTGTTGGCGCCAGATGACCCTGCTCCTGGATATTTCAAGCGCCTTTAGCACCTCCCCCCAACTGAACTGACCCTATTCCCACTCCCAGACACCTACTCCACTCCCCAGAACACACACCCCCTACTTAGGCAGGTCAACAGGCGGCGGCACGTCGAGCTTCACCCCCGCCTGGATCTGCCCCCAGCCAATCAGCCGCCAGTGCTTCTCCACGCGGCGGCTTAGCGCCAGCTTCTCGCCCGTCTTGGTGCAGACAGGGGAGGTCAGGTGCAGCTTGGCGAGGTCGTTCTTGACAGCCAGCACGCGCGCCCCTGTGGACATGGACCCGATGTTGAGCATCAGCACCTCGCCCTTGGTCAGCTTCGCCACCTTGCCCTGCTTTTCAGTGCCCTTGGTGCGCACTCCCAGCAGCCGCCGCAGAAGGAAGAAGTTGATCTGTTGAGTGGGGGAATGGAGTATGGGGGTGGGGGTGGTGGGGGAAGAGAGGGCATGGACCCGATGTTGAGCATCAGCACCTCGCCCATGGTCAGCTTCGCCACCTTGCCCTGCTTCTCCGTGCCCTTGGTGCGCACTCCCAGCAGCCGCTGCAGCCAGAAGAAGTTGATCTGTTGAGAGGTGTGGGAGAGGGGAGGGGAGGGGGGGCAGTGGAGCATGGGATGCCAGGGGAAGTGAATGGGGAAGAAGAATGAGAAGAGAAGAGGAGACGGAACGGGAGGGGAAGAGAGGGGTGGTTGAGGGTGTTGAGCACAAGTACCTGGGCCCATGCAACTGTCCTCATTGCCATGCTTCTCTCACTGTCCTCCGTGGTTACATCCCACGCTCACACCACATCCACACAGCCATGCACACATCCAAAACCTCGCACCAATCGGGATGCTTCACCACAGGCTCAGTCCCCAGCACTAGCCCCAGAAAGAGATCGGCACTGGTCAATCTTGAGTCAACGGTGGTGCCCTGCACTCGTTCTTGCTCCCACGCAACCCTCTCTCCTTCTCACCTCGAGCTCCACAAACACGTCTGGCAGCGCGCCAACCTCCCCTAGGACTTGCCCCACAAGGCGATCTGCCCTGGTGAGCGTGGGGTCGATGGCCGTGCCATCCTTCTCTTCTAGCCTTCCCTTGTGACCCTCCCACTGTACTCATGTTCATGGCGCATCCCATTCTCACCTCCAGTTCAACGAACACGTCTGGCAGCGCGCCGACCTCCCCCAGCACTTGCCCCACGAGACGATCGGCCCTGGTGAGCGTGGGGTCGATGGTAGTACCGACTCCGATGAGCCCCCCCGGCACGGCGAACTGCAGCTCGTTCTGCTCGGCGAAGAGCGAAATGATGCGCGAGAAGATGGGCGTGCAACGGATGTTGCCGTCCGCGTCCTTCGCAACGATGCCCGGCCGCACCTCGATCTTCTGCCCCACCCGCAGCACGCCCTGGTGGGTGATTCAGCGGGGCCGGGGCCGGGGCGGGGGGGAGGAGGAGAGAGGTTGGTAACAGAGGGTGATGAGAGACGGAAGATGGGCGCGCAGTGGATGTTGCCGTCCGCGTCCTTGTCTTCTGCCCCACCCGCAGCACACCCTTTGGTTCAGTTCAAAAGGGCGAGGGAGAGGCGGGGGGGGAGAGAGGGGGGGCGCGGGAGGGGGACGGCGGGCAAGAGCTGGATAGAGGACAGCGCCCCTTGGCAACAATGCATGGCCGCGCCTCTACCTTCTTCTCCTCCCCCCCCAACCCCCCCCCCCCCACCCAGCGGTACACCCTGGTGGGTGAGCAGCCGGGCAAGAGTGAGAGTGGGCGTGAGAGAAGGGGGGAAACACGACTGAGCGAGGGGAGAACGAGGGGGAGGGTGCCGGATGGGAGTGACGGAGAGAGAGAGAGGTAAAACGGGAGGGGAACGGGGGATGGGGGCAGGAACGAGGAGAACGGGGCCAGGAGAGGGATAGGATAGAGAGAGGGCCTCACGTGCAGGATGGAGCCACCAGCGACGCCTCCCTTGATGTCGTCGACCTCGGCGCCGGGCTTGTTGACGTCGAAGGAGCGGATGACGATCATGTTGGGCGGCGAGATGAAGTCGCGCTCGGGGATGGGGATGCGCTTGATGATCATCTCGCACACCACGTCCACGTTGTACTTCAGCTGCGCGCTGATGGGAATCACGGGCGCGCCATCAGCAATGGTGCCCTGCGGTGAGGTGCGGTGGGGTGTGGAGCGATGGCAGGGGGGAACGGGAAGAGGGAGAGGGAGGGGGGGATAGGGGCAGAGGGGATGGGGATGCGCTTGATGATCATCTCGCACACCACGTCCACGTTGTACTTCAGCTGCGCGCTGATGGGGTTCACGGGGGCGCCGTCCGCAATGGTGCCCTGTGGTGGGAGCGGTGGGGTACGGTGGGGTGCGATGAAGTGTGGTGAGGCGTGGTGCGATGGCAGGGAGCAACGGGGGGACGGAGGGGTGGGTAGGGGCAGGGGCTGGGGATGCGCTTGGCGTCCATCTTGCACACCACGTCCACGTTGTACTTCAGCTGCGCGCTGATGGGGATCACGGGGGCGCCATCAGCAATCGTGCCCTGTGGTGGGGAGCGGTGGGGTACGGTGGGGTGCGATGAAGTGTGGTGAGGTGTGGTGCGATGGCAGGGGGCAAAGGGGGAGGGAGGGTTAACGGGCAGAGGGGATGGGGATGCGTTTGGCGATCATCTCGCACACCACGTCCACGTTGTACTTGAGCTGCGGGCTGATGGGCACGCAGGGTGGGTGTGGCGGAAGAGGGGGGCGGCGATAGAGTGGTGGATGCAATGCGAAGCAAGGGGGGAGAGGGGGAGGGACGAGCAATGTGGGAAGGTGGAGTAATGGATGAGACGGGCCGAGCGAAGGTCAGGAGGGGGAAGGGCGGAACTAAAAGGCGCAGAGCGAAACGCGAAACACAACCCACACATGCACCCCCGTTCCGCCCTTTCCTCCGCACACCCTAAACACCTACCCAAGGAGGACGCGGCGACGAAGCGTGAGTATCTGCTCGGGCAACTCGCTCGTACGGGCCACCTGAATGAACTTCTGCATGGCCTCGTGCTGGTTAACCGCGACGCTCTCCTGGATGAGATTGATCTTGTTCTGCAGAATGATGAAGTGCTTCAGCCCCATCATCTCCACGGCCGCTACAGCGCGACTGCTAGGCGTGATTGAGTCGGCTCAAAAGACTGTTAGACGTCTCACCTGGATGAACTTTTGAATGGCTTCGTGCTGGTTGACGGCGACGCTCTCTTGGATGAGGTCGATCTTGTTCTGCAGGATGATGATGTGCTTCAGCCGCATGATCTCCACGGCCGCCAGGTGCTCCGACGTCTGCGGCTGCGGGCAGCTCTCGTTGCCCGCGATCAGCAGCAGCGCGCCGTCCATAATCGCCGCGCCGTTCAGCATCGTCGCCATCAGAATGTCGTGGCCCTGGGGGGAAGGGGGGGGGGGGGGAGCGGGCGCAGAGCGCAAGAGAGGGCGACGCGAGTAAGCTAGTGTTGTGACTATGGCTTTAAGTTAGCGAACAAGGATGTGTGGCCTGACGTCTGTGCAGCTACAGGTGGCTGCGCGGCTACAGATGGCTGCGCGGCTGCAGATGTCTGCGCGGCTACAGATGGCTGTGCGGATGCAGATGGCTGCGCGGCTACAGATGGCTGCGCGGCTACAGATGACTGCGCGGCTACAGATGGCTGCGTGCTGGAGCTGGCGTTGTCCCCTATCAGCAGCAATACTGCGCCAGCCAACTTCGCGAGCTCCACCAGCCTCGCAAAACTTTCCATACAATCCTGCTACAACAGCCTCACCGGGCAATCAACGAACGACACGTGGCGCATCAGCTTCATGCGAGCCTTCTCGAATCCAGGCACGTCGCACAGCGGACTGTCCTCCTTACTGCTGCCGTACGCCCTGCAAGCGCGTAAGAAACATGAAAATTACAAACCTTTAAAACCAAAAGATGCTGGTCCGAAACCCTAGTCTTGACATCAGCCTTGACTCTGCCTACACCAAGCCAAAAATCCCAAAATGGCACTCCACCCGTCTACACCCGATTCCACCCCTCTCCATCTCCTCGTCCGTTCGCAGGAGGTTGGCGCGTGAAGCACGACGTACTTGTAGCACATGGGGCGCGGGCACTCGTCGTCCTCGCATTTGTAGATCTTGGCGTTGGCGTAGCCGAGCTTGATCGTGATGTTCCGCTCCAGCTCGTTCTTGAATCGCACCGTCTGCCAGAGACGAAACCATGGGGAAAGCAGATCACGGGAAGGAAATCCGATGACACATGTTCGCACGCTGAGGAATCGCACATGGGATGCGGATCGGAGGAGGAACGGTTAGATAGTGCTTCGACAAATCCATGTCGGCTATTTACAACTAAGGGCGTGAACAACCCCTTACCTGGACGCCGGAAATCGCCTTGACAACGGTCGATTTGCCGTGAGCGACATGACCGATAGTACCTGCGGAATGCACGACGGAGATCGGCATGGGACGACGAAGATTGGGGAGATAATGCTCTCAGATCATTGGCGAGAAGAAAGCTCAAGGAGGGGTTAGGAGCCCTAAGAAGGCGGCGACTAAGTGGACTAACTACGACCTCGACGCACCGATGTTGATCGTGGCTTGTCGACTAATGACCTCAGGAGACAGCGGATTGAGCTTCGTCACATCCAGCGTCTTGAGATCCTGCTCCATTAAACCCTTGCGCGCCATGGCGTTGTCTCACTTGTTCACCTGACAAACCCTTAGATTCGAAATCCGCGCAATATAAAGTTCTCAACAGCGCGATGAGCTCAAAATCACCGCTATTTTGAAGGTGCTGGTCGGCGAAAAGGGTGAAAGGAACCATGTTGATTACACGCAGGGATCCATGGCGGCAGCTGTGAGGGGAAAAGCAGCTCTAGGGATGGCTTGGGCTGGGAGAGACGTTGGAGAGAAGCAGGATGGGAGCAAAAGAGATTCTCGAGAAAGCAGAATCTAACTTCAAGTTGCCTTGGGGATCTCACTTGGCGAAACCTAAACGAGGATAGCCGGGGAAAAGGAAGACCAACGGATAAACTAAGTGTATGAGTTATTGGTACAATATATCACTGAACTTTTAATGAACCATCATGAGTTCTTCATGAACCATCATGAAGTCTGTTCCTCCGATGCAATTAAGTACACACATCATGTTTATTTTCAAATTTCATTCCCCTCACGTTTCCATCGTGGTTTCCTGTGTTGTCCATGTTTGTGTAAATTATCACTCCTTTTCTTAAGTCACATTCTACGCAAACCCATAAAAAGCAATTATATAGAAGATGGATATGAAATGTTGTTTACAATATGGATATTAAATGCATTTTATGATGATGAAACACGGCTGATGAATTGCTGTTCCAAGGCTGAACTACTTATGTTTGATTAATTTCACCTTTGTTCAATTATACATTCAAAGAAGAAATTATTTCAGGCGGTGTACACGAAACACTAGCTGCAACGGTCCATCTGCTCCAGTCAGTGGTTCCCATGCACCAGCCAGTGTTTTGGCCTCCAAACCCCCAGATTCCAGCAGCTCTGCTCTGACAGCCGCTCTAGCAGCGGCCTCCCTCCAAATGCATCTACGAGCACCAACAAACCCGCCTCGCATCATGCCCTCACCTTCCACCACCCATTTTCTCCCGTTCTGCCCTCGAATCCGCTGCGCTTGGGCCCGCCGTAAAAAAACTCTCCCGAGCCACTCCTTTCGCTTGCGCTCCCAGTCCTCTTGTCGACTTAGTGACCCCCCTTCAGAAATCTAAGCTGACTTGGCGGTGTTTGGGGTGGATAGCCAACCCACGTCACTCTATTTGGTTCTGTGGGTTGTTTTTCACCGGCCACTTGGCGTCGGTGATGCTGATCTGGACACTGCTTTTCGAAATTTCACATTTTCGCGCTCGAAAATATCATTCGCAACGGCTTTCTACGCACTCACCGAGGGCCCAAGTTGGACGTCGGAACCCCAACCGACTCCCCTCGCAGCCTGCTTTCGCCTCCCACTTGCTCCGTGCCTCGCTCCCACCCAAATCCCTGCCTCGCCCTCTCACGCAACATTTCGCACCTTGATTTCTCGTTTTCAATCCTAGCTCTCGCTCCGTGCCCTTCAGCTCGTCTAGGCTACTTTTCAGTGCAGATTTCGACACATCTCCGATCCATCTTCAGTTGTTGCGGCACCTTACGTATTCCGAAGCGTACACCACTCGCCGTCGCCATTGTACTCAGAAGCGCCATTAACACTCACCACTCGCCACTCGCCATCGCCGAAGGCATGTCATCCGCGGTTCAAGCCATCGCCTCGAGCGCATCGTCTGGCGGGCGTGGTAACGACATGGCGTCGACTTCGTCGTTAACCGCGACTTACAGCCTGCAGACATTTTTGTACGTGGATTCGTCAACTTTTTAATGATGTGATTTGAATCGCTTTTGCTAACCTCAAGTTCCGTATTTGTCTCCCTCTCAGGTTTTTTTCAAGTGTCATTGAATATCAAGACTTGTGGCTCGCTGCTCAGCCGCTGCTGCTCGCCGCTCTCCATCAGTCGCCCATCCGACCACCCGCCACCATCGTCACCCGCTCCGCCTCACCCGTCGCCTGCTCCGTCCATCTTCATCAAGCGGTAACCAGTCGGTTTCTTCCATTCACCGCTTTCGGTCACTTCTGCGTTCTGAGGTTCATTTTGCTGTGCTGACATCGTTCTTGTGTCCCCTTGCAGGAAGCAGCAGCAAGCCACGCCAGGCAGCGAGCAAAACACGAGCATGGCAGTCAGCCCAGGCTGAGCAAGGGCCGTTTGGTCTCAACGATCCGCTTCGGACCACGACTATCCGCTTCGCCATCCGCTTCGCCATCCGCTTCGCCATCCACTTCGCCATCCGCTTCGCCATCCGCTTCGTCCATCCAATTCGCCATCCAATTCGCCATCCGCTTCGTCCATCCAATTCGCCATCCGCTTCGTCCATCCAATTCGCCATCCGCTTCGTCCATCCAATTCGCCATCCGCTTCGTCCATCCAACCCGCCATCCATCTCACCACAACCCAAAGAAGCTTCACCAAAAGCAGCCACGAGAAGCTTCATGGAAGCAGCCTACCGCGCCCATTCCAGCGTGCGGTGGTGCTGCCAGCACCCCTCAACGCGCCGCTCAACTGCTGCTGCTCGCCACTCGCCATCAGACGTCCATCCGCCCACCAACCACCGTCGCCTGCTCCGTCCATCGCCATCAAGCGGTAAGCAGTCACTTTCTCTTCCGTTTAGCGCTTTCAGTTTTACATTTCGAAGTTCATTTCGCTGAAGTACCTTTCGTCTCTCGTTGCAGGAAGCAGCAGCAGCCATCCAAGCCACGCCAAGCAATGAGCAGCGAGCCAAGAGTGCCCAAGGGCCGTTTCGTCTCAGGCGGCACTGTTGGGCGACCAACCATCCGTCCCGCCCTCGTCCGAGCACCACGACGATCCGCTCCGCCGTCCAATCCGCCGTCCAATTCGCCGTCCAATCCGCCGTCCAATCCGCCTTCCAATCCGCTGTCCAATCCGCCGTCCAATCCGCCATCGAATCTGCCGTCCAATCAGCCTTCCAATCCGCCATCCATAGCCACTCGATTCGCCATCCAATCCGCCACACCCCATTTCGCCGTACCCTGAGGGAACTTCACCGAAAGCAGCCACAGGAGCAAGCAGCCTACCGCGGCCATGCCATGCCAGCGTGCGGTGGTGCTGTCAGCACCCCTCTGCAGCGTACGAAGCAGCGTCCGCCATCCACGCCACGCGCTCAGATGAGTATTCAAAACCCTGCTCGCCCTGCTCCCCCCTTCCCCCCATGCACACACCATGCACCATTCAGCATGCACCATGCACCATGCACCATGCACCATGCACCATTCACCATACACCATGCACTATGCACCATGCACTATGCACCATGCACCATGCACCATGCACCATGCACCATGCACCATGCACCATGCATCGCCATTCCCAGCCCAAGGCGCACCTGCAGAGCTCCCTGACTCTCCCCCCCAGGTCCGGGTTAGCGTCTTCTATGTAGCTTTGTCAGCTCTGTCAGCCCATGTCCTGTGCACGTGTCTGCTGCTAGCCGTCCTGTCTGCTTGCGCTGCCTGCTCGCGTCCGTCTGAGCTCTGCAGGGTGATCGCCGTGGCTGGTGGCATTCATGCGCGCACCTCACCCTCATCGCTCGCATTGTCAATTTGACTCTCACTTCTCGATTTCGCCATTTCACTCTCTCTGCCGACTCCCCTCGGTTGCTTGTTGCCCTTCAACTCGTTCCCCCCCGCCCTCCCCGCCTCCCGCCTCCCCGCCCCTGCCCTCCCAGGCGTGCTCTTTCCAAGTGGAGGGCAGCGAGCGAGCACCAGGGGAGCGAACACCAGAGGCGGGCAGCAAGAGGGCCAGCCGCAACCACTCATGAAGGGTCGAGGTTGCAAGTATCACCCCGCCACCACACGCCACAAGAGCCTTCCCCTCAGGTTCAGGTGCAGGTGCAGGTATTTTCTTTCTTTGGTACTGGCTCGCGTGGTGCTGTGGGTGGCGTCAATGTACCATCCTCACGCCACGCTTGCTCACTTGCTGTACTCGTCTTGCTTTGCTTGTATCGCTTTGCAAGGGTCGCTCCCTGCTGTCATCCACTCACTCCCCCCCCCCTCTCCCCCCTCCCCCTCCTTTTTCCCCTCCCCAGCTTGACTGGCAGGCGCTCTTCCCCAAGGCTCTGCTCGCGCTGCTCTCAAGGGAGCGCCAAGGCGGGCAGCAAGAGGGCGGGCAGCAAGAGGGCGGGCAGCAAGGCAGCAACGCCGCGGATCATGAAGGGTCGAGGTTGCAAGTATCATCCCGCCACCACACTCCACAAGAGCCTTCCCCCCAGGTTCAGGTTCAGGTGCAAGTGCAGGTATTTTCGTTCTTTGGTACTGGCTCGCGTGGTGCTGTGGTCGGCATCCCACTTGCTCACTTGCTGCACTTGTCTCGCTTTTCAAGAGTCCCTCCCTGCTGCCATGCCCTCACTTCTCCCCCCCCCGCTTCCCCCTCCCCCCCCCCCCACTGACTGGCAGGCGCATCGCCACTCCCAAGACCCAAGGCAGCTCCACCGCCTGCAGCAGCAGCTCTTGCAACGGCTGTGCGGCAGGGGAGTCGCAGCAGGTCGTCGTCAGCTCCAATCTCCATCCATACAGAGCTAAGTACCCCCCCCTCCATCCCCCCCTCCCTCTTCGCCCTGCATCCACCCCACATTCCGCTCCGACTCACTCCCCCACGCCTCGCCTCCACCGCCCCCATCCCCGCCCTCATCCCCAGCGGCACTGTGGCACACCCAAGTTCCCCCTCCCCTAGTAGCAGGTTCAGCCTCCGGTGTAGATGGTATAGACGGTATGGGGCCATGGGCGTGCCACGTGCTGCAGGGGGAGAAGGTGCTACGCACTCATCCATGCATCCACCCCCTTTCATGCACGAGTGTTTTTTTCCACTCCGCCATTCCCCAGCCGTATTCTCTCCCTCACTCACTCCCTCCCTGAGTCGCTGTCTCCCCCTGGCTGGCTCCCAGCAGCCGAGGGGCGGAGGCTGCGTCTGTGAGGCGCGGAGGAGGAGGAGGGCAGCAGTACTTCACGTGGCACGCCCACGCCCATGGCACACTGCCCTTGTACTCTCCAGCTAAGTATTCCCTTCTCGTTACACCTTGCCTTTATTTCTGCTAATTGGTCTTGATTCTGCGGTATTCGTTTTTCAAATTCCTTCTCCACTCAAATCTTGCCACTGGTTGTTCCCGGCTCACAAGTCACAGACCCCTCTGTACTTCAGGTAACCCCTCAGGTTCAGCCCCCCTAAAGCCTTACAGCTCCCTCAGGTTAAATACTACCGCAGGTTCACCCCCTCAGGTTCCCTTGGGGGTCTGTGGCTTGTGGGTTTGCCTCCACCAGTGGCGCCTCCCCTCTCTGGCCTTTATTGCTCTCGGTTGTATTTCACCCTTGATGCCCTCGCTGCCCACTGACCAGCTCTGCTTGCGTCCATGGCAGGTGGGTGGGAGGGGCGTGGGGTCAACACCGACGCTCCCCCACGCCCCTCCCCTGTGGTCGTGCAGGCATGCACCACACGGGGAGGTATGGAGCAAGGAGCTTCACTGGGGTGGGCGTGGCGCCTCCAGGAAGGGCTGGAGGCAGGCAGACCGCCATGGGTGCAGCTCACCAGCTAAGTACCCTCTCCTCCCTGGACCTTGTCTTATGTGCCGGTTGCTCGTAGCGTGTCTTTTAATGCCTCCTCTCTTCAAATCTCGCCACTGGTGGAGCCGGGCTCACAAGTCACAGACCCCCTTTACTCCAGGTAACCCCTCAGGTTCAGCCCCCCTACCTCCAGCCCCCTCAGGTTCAGCCTCTCAGGTCACTTTGGGGGTGTGTGGCTTGTGGCTATGCGTCCACCAGTGGCGCCTCTCCTCAGTCTTGTCTTCTTGTCTCTTCGATACTTCACCCTTGATCCCCTCATTGCCCACTGACCAGCTCTGCTTGTGTGCATGGCAGGTGGAGGGGAGGGGCGAGGGGGTCAAAACCGACGCTCCCCCACGCCCCTCCCCTGTGGCCTTGCAGGCATGCACCACACGGGGAGGCATGGGGAAAGGGGCTTCAGGGGAGGCCACTGGGGTGGGCGTGGCGTCTCCAGGAAGGCGTGGAGGCAGGCAGTCCGCCATGAGTGCCTTAGATGTCCAGCTATGTACTTTCTCCTCCCTAGACCTTGTCTTTCTCCTCGCTAGACCTTGTCTTTCTCCTTCCTAGACCTTGTCTTTCTCCTCCCTAGACCTCGTCTTTCGTGCTGCTTGCTCGCACTGCTGCTCGTTTGTGTGTCGTTTAATGCTTTCTCCCTTCAAATCTCGCCACTGGTTGGGCCCGGCTCACAAGCCACAGACCCCCTTACTCCAGGTAAACCCCTCAGGTTCAGCCCCCCTAAGCCTACAGCCCCCTCAAGTTCCCTTGGGGGTCTGTGGCTTGTGGCTGTGGCTCCTCCAGTGGCGCCTCCCCTCTCTCGCCTTGCAGTTTTCTTCTTGCAGTCTCGGTTGTACATCCACCCTTGACCCCCCTCGCTGCCCACTGACCAGCGCTGCTTGTGTGCGTTGCAGGTGGAGGGGAGGGGCGAGGGGGTCAACACCAATGCTCCCCCACGCCCCTCCCCTGTGGCCGTGCAGGCATGCACACGGGGAGGCATGGAGCAACGGCTCGAAGGGAGACCATTGGGGTGGGCGTGGCGTCTCAACCAAGGCGTGGAGGCAGTCCGCCATGAGGGCTTCAGCTTTCCAGCTCGCCCCCGCGCTTGGACAGCTTATTGTGCTGCTTGCTCATGCTTCTGCTTGATTTGTTCGCATGTGCTTTAATGCTTTCTCCCTTCAAATCTCGCCACTGGTGGTGGGGCCCGGCTCACAAGCCACAGACCCCCTTACTCCAGGTAAACCCCTCAGGTTCAGCCCCCCTAAGCCTACAACCCCCTCAGGTTCGCTTGGGGGTCTGTGGCTTGTGGCTGTGCGCCCTCCAGTGGCGCCTCCCCTCTTGCCTTGCAGTCTTGTTTTTCCAGTCTCACTTGTACGTCCACCTTTGATCCCCTCGCTGCCCACTGATTAGCTGTGCTCGTGCCCATTGCAGGTGGAGGGGAGGGGCGTGGGGTCACCACCGACGCTCCCCCACGCCCCTCCCCTGTGGCCGTGCAGGCATGCACACGGGGAGGGGAGGCAGCCGTGTGGATGGGAGGAGGGCAGCACTGCAGCAGATGGGATCGGTGCTGCGAGGGAGAGTATGGGCACGGGGCTTGGCCTCTCAAGGTGCATTACTTGCCTTTCTTGTTTCTCTCACCTTCAGTCCGTCTCCCTTCAGTCGTCTCTGATTCTCTCGCCAGTCCCACACCTTTCGACTCACCAATGCCCCCTGCCCCTCCTCTCCTGTCTCCCCCACCCCCACCCTGCCCCCCACCAGGCCACGTAGCATCCAGTGAAGACTGCAGCAGAGCAGCTGAGCAGCAGACTGCCAGCCGCAGTTGCAGCAGCAGAAGCGGCGACCACAGCAGCAGCAGTGGCAGCAGTGGGGCTGGGGGGCTAGAGGGCAGGCTAGGCTAGGTCTAGGTGTGAGCGAGGTATGGTAAAGGTGAGGTATGGTAAAGGTGAGGTATGGTACCAGGTGAGGTGATCTGACTGACCCCCTCCTCTCTCTTTCACCCCCCCCCACCCCGCTGCAGCCTGAGGATGGGAGCACTGGAGCACTGGAGCACTGGAGCACTGGAGCAAGGGCTGGAGGGTGGAGCCCACCCTCTCACTCACCTCCCCCCCTCTCTCTCTTCCCTTCCCTCCCAGCAGCACCACGCCTTGAGCACAGTGGATTACCCCCCTCGTCTAATCCCCCCCCCCCACTTCCCAGCAGCATCTGGCATCATGGTGCTCTGCATGGCTGGGGTAGGTAGAGGTAAGCACGCATGGGGGTGACGCATGGGGGTGACGCATGGGGGTGACGCATGGGAGTGAAGGGAGGGGGGTGGGTGGGTGGGGAGCATGGGAGCAAGCGTTCAGCTGACTGCCTTAGGGGGCAGCAGCCTCGGTGGTGGTGGCTTGTGGGCGGGGTGTGGTTGGTGGAATCTGCATGGCGGCGGCACTCGGTGCTCAAGTAACCGATCTGACGTTTAAGGCTTAATGGACACCGTCAGAGTCGGCCGGCCGGCGGCTCTGGTTCGCGTCAGCTCTAGCCACGTCAGGGGTGGGATTTGAGTCTTGGGCCACGTCATCCTCTTCCACCGCCACACCTCGCCCCTCAAGGCGCAGCCACTGGGGGTGTTGGTTCCAAAAGGGAGTGGGCTGTCTGCTGCTGCTACTGCTGATGGTGGGAAAAGGCAAGGTTTTTGAGGCGCCTCAAAATGCTTTTAAGGAGCTTCAAAAGCACTCTCAGTTCTGGTGGGGAAAGGCAAGGGGGGCTGGGAACTGGTGGGGGTGGTGGGAAAAGGGGAGGCCTTGGTGTGGTATGGTATGTCTGATCTGTTAGTGTGCTATGCCATGGTGGTATGCCATAGTGTGGTATGCCATAGTGCGGTGTGTCATAGTGTGGTCTGTCATGTCATAGTGTGGTATGCCATAGTGTGGTATGTCAGTGTGGTATGTCATAGTGTGGTATGCCATAGTGTGGTATGTCAGTGTGGTATGTCAGTGTGGTATGTCATAATGTGGTATGTCATAGTGTGGTCTGTCATAGTGTGGTATGTCAGTGGGGTATGTCGTAGTGCGGTATGCCATAGTGCGGTATGCCATAATGCGGTATGCCATAGTGTGGTATGTCATAGTGTGGTATGTCATAGTGTGGTATGGCATGGTGTGGTATGTCATGGTGTGGCATGTTATGGTGTGGCATGTCATGGTGTGGCATGTCATGGTGTGGCATGGCATGGTGTGGCATGGCATGGTGTGGTATGTCATGGTGTGGCATGCCATGGTGTGGTATGTCATGGTGTGGTATGGCATGGTGTGGCATGGCATGGTGTGGCATGTCATGGTGTGCCATGTCATGGTGTGGCATGTCATGGTGTGGCATGTCATGGTGTGGCATGCCATGGTGTGGTATGCCATGGTGTGGTATGTCATGGTGTGGCATGCCATGGTGTGGTATGTCATAGTGTGGTATGGCATGGTGTGGCATGTCATGGTGTGGCATGTCATGGTGTGGCATGCCATGGTGTGGCATGCCATGTGCAGGTTGGCAGCAGCTGGAGGGAAGTGGAGCGAGATTGAAGATGAGGAGGACTGCTGGGGAAGGGAAGAGCAAGGTGGAGGATGGCAAGCATGGCTGCCTGAATGCAGGCTCAGTTTGTCCTTAGGTGCTTAACCCAGTAGGATGCAATTGTGCGCAGAACTCTGTGTCTGCCTGAACCTGCCTGTTCTGGTAATGCTGCTTGCTTAGGTGCCTGGATGTTCTTTTGCGTTTACATGTGGTAGTAGGTAATACTGTATAAGCCTGGCATGAAAGAATGCCAAATCATCAGCCAGGGCTTGTGAGATGCACACGCTAAAACCTGGTGCATGGTTGTCTTGTCTGGCGCGGTGCCAGTGGCCAGCATGAAGTGGATGTCTCAGCCAGCACACTGATGCCATGCAAAGCAAAGCCTTTTACACAGTGCCCCAGCCCCACCCACCCATGCAATCATAGGCTACAATGCAGATGTAAGCGATAGCATCACAGAGAGTTGGAGGCTTTTCATCCCTTGCAAACAGCTCTGGCTGTGTGGATGTGTGGTTGGCGTCAACACTGCCCATGTCTACGGCAAGGCAGTGTGAGGCACCGCCCCTTAAGTTTATGTGTCTCGTTTCAAACATGCCAAGGATGCAGGTTTCAACAGTGTTGGAAATATCTCAAGGACTTAAGCGTTTCTGAAGTTTAACACTGTACTCGAGGAAGACTACAGGGGAGCACGCGAGTCAACGGAGGTTACACGAGGGGGCGGACAAAGAATGCGAAAGGACTCGAAAGGTCGCAACTGGAGGTTGCGACTGACCGTTACAACATCACGGATGGTAACCGAAGCGGCAATCGAGTCGCTGTGCGACTCGATAAACCGTTCCTGTAACTGTATTCTACAACTGCTTTCTTATCTACTATATATTGCTGTATGCTTGTTTCTTTAATCAATCACTTGTTCTCACATACTAGTACAAGGGTTCAACTGCCTCAACTTCCGCTGCACTACTCCAAGTCTCAAGTCTCTACAAGCTGGGACTTAGTCTCTGCAAAAGATCCTAAGGGCTTTTTCTCAGCCCAACATGGTATGAGAGCTGGTCAGAGACCAAACTCCCAGCAACTACACTCCATCAACAACCAGCAACTCAACTTGATTCAACAACTCCATTGATTGCAAGACATGGACAACAAGGGCAAGAAAGTCTCTACGGGCTCACCCAGCGCCCAAGAAACTCAACACGGCAACTCTGGTCTGCACACCTCAGGACTGCAGACAGAGACCGGGACTGCTCAAGAAACAACGGGAAGAGTACCAGAGATGGTGACTCCGTCTCCCTCTTCAAGTGTGGACCCGAATCTCATGGAGAGATTCTTCAGCTTCATGTCACACTTCGACCAGCAGCAGCAGACAAGGACACCTGCGCAATCAACACAGAGCAATGGAGGGAATATGGGATTAGCACCGATGAGCCTCGACAACTCATCCTTCGGGCGACACAACCAAGCGCCTACCTTTGCGCCTTATCATTCTTCGCCGGGGACGTTCGAATTCATGCCGCCCCGTGCCCAGCCAACAGCAGCTGCATCACAACAAACACCGAATGAAATCTTAAGTTTACAGGCGCAGTTCTCACACGTGATCAAACTTCAGACATCCTCACCGTTCAACGGACACGACTTCTTTACCTGGAGCTTCGAGTTCGAGCTGCTGATGGAGGCCGCGCATCTTCTGGGATACTTCAACGGGTCCCTGCCATTCCCAAGCAACGGCACTGGGAAGGAACAAGAGATTTTCACGTATCAGTCACTGCTGGCGTACACGGTACTCCTGAGAAACCTGTCACCACAAGAGCAGCAGAGCATCAGAACGTATCGGAGTTATGGAAACTCCGCGGAGCTCGCATGGCACCACCTCAAGTGCCTTTACCAAGCAAACGACAGCGTGACACAAAGCAGACTCATGCAACAGCTGACAACAATACAGATGAAGACCGGGGAAAAAAGCGATGCAGTATATGAGTCGCTGCCAGACCCTCCGCGACCGCCTGCTTCGGTGCGGAGGAACGATCACTGAAGAAAGCTTCGTGACACTTGTCCTCGCCGGGCTCGGGCCAGAATGGAGAACCACACGATCACTTCTTCGAGCCCACGGAAGAATTTCGGAGATGCACCTCTGCGCCGAGCTTCACGCTGAACAACAGGAGATGGATCTGTTCGAGGAAAGACAACCAAGGAAGCAACAGCAGTTAGTCTTCTACACTCAAAGAAGAAATGACAACAACTACAACCGACGCAGCAAGCAAGATCAACGCGACAACCGAGGACTCACCATCGTACCGCCGTTCTGCCACAACTGCCAGACTTCCGGGCACTCCAAAGTCAACTGCAACCGCCCTCGCGTTTACCGTGCAGCAGACCCACAAGTCACTTCCACTCAAGCAAGTCCTCCAAGGCGCTCTTCAACATCTGCACAACAAACACCCAACATCATCAACTGCATGGTACACATCGACAACTGCGCACCCGGTTCACCACCCACTTACGCACCAGACGAAGAGGAATTCCCGCCGCCGCGCTCGCAAGGACTTCAGGTCAACCCGACATACGCTGCAGTCGCCAACGCCGAACCCACCGGGCGAAACACCTGGTTCTTGGACAGCTGCTGCGGTCAACACATGTGCTCCTCGGGACGCTTCGTGCAACAGGAGAAACGACTCAACCGCGACGTCGTCATCACAGTCGCCAACAACGAAAACCTGAAGACAAACAGACAAGGCGTGGTTCAGTTACAATCCATGGAAACAAACGTAATACTGCAGCTCAACAAAGTGCTCATTGTCGACAACCTGGGATACAATCTACTAAGCGTAAGCCAACTAATGGCCAAAGGGATTCACCTGGAGTGCGACTCCTACTCCAACGAGTTCCGGCTTTACCACGGGAAGGGCGGCCTCTTCATCGGTCGTGCCCTCCTGAAGTCCGGTGTCTTCGTGTTGGACTTCGTCCCCGACCGCGGAACTGCCGACAGCGATGGCATCGTATCGTTCGCCGCCTGGACTCACCCGCCGGATCTTGATCCCGACTTCGACAGTGACGGCTTCTGGCACTCCAACACCATACCTGCAGCAGAGAGAACACGAGCATTAGCAGTTATCCGACAAGAAAGACAAGTACCCGCAAGTGTCCCAACAAAACCATCACCTGCAGTATCGGCAGCAGGACCCAGCCGAGCACCACCACCATCAACACGAGGACCGCCAACGGAAGCAGACCAACTTATGCCCGCCACACGAGAAGCTTGTCGAAGTCCCGCCTCGGTCGTCGCGTTCTTCTCCAACGCCGACATCTACCACCGCTCGCCCGGTCACCGTGCTCCCGACGACATCTGGCACCAACGCCTCGGACACCCTGCAAACAGCACAATACTTCAAACAATCCAAGCAGAGGTGTTAGAACGCAACGCCCTTCTGACGACGAGCGGTCAAGAACTTCGACGACCACGCGCACGGTGCTTCACATGCCCCGAAGCAGATCTTCCTCATCAACCTTTTCCATCCCATCACAACCCAAGCGCACCTACTTACGCTCCGATGGAAAAAGTCTACAGCGATATTTTAAACATGCCTCGAGACGACACCGAAGCCGACTTCAACTACGTCATCACGTTCATCGACGCCGCAACCAGATACGTCTGGCACTTCAATCTCAAAACGCGCGATCAAGCCTTCGAGGCATTCACCACATGGCTTCCAATCGCCGAACGAGAGTCAGGAACCAAACTCAAGAGTTTCCAGTCAGACGGTGCACTGGAATACCAGTCACAACGCTTCAGGACCTATCTCGCGGAAAGGGGAATCCGACGCCTGGTGTCTCTGCCCTATGCTCACCAGCAGCAGGGGGTAGCAGAACGCATGAACCGGACCTTGCAGACGACGATGCGAAAACTGCTTCTGGGGATGAGGCTGCCCAACGCACTGTGGCCAGACGCGATGACACATGCAGTCCACCTGCACAACCTGTTGTCCTCGTCATCGCTCCCCAACAACGCATCACCACACCTGCTGTGGACGGGAAAAAGGGGCAGCACAAAATTACTTCGAGTTTTCGGCTGCATGGTACAATACAGACCCCACACAGCTCGAGCAGGACGCTTCACTCAACGAGCTCGGTGGGGACTACACCTCGGCATCGCCAAACATTTTCACGCGTGGAAGATCCTCGACATACAAGACAAAAATACGGTGGCATCACGTGATGTTATCTTCTACGAGCGACTGACGCTGCAGCATTACCTGGACAACATTGCCAACTCAGACGACCCCACCGACGGCTTCGCGGGCCTTCGCTCCTTCGCTGACCATGCTGCCGAGGCTGACGCAGCAGAAGAAGACATACCTGGAGCCTCGGAAGCTGCCGGGCCACTCCCATTCTGTTCCATACCTGTTCCACTCGATGAAGATAATCCCCTCGATAGCAACAACCTCGACACCTTTTACCACTTCGCCGACCAAGGTTACGCTACACCGCACCCCGTCGACACGAATATTTCGGAACGCATCGGCCCCAATTTCTTACCTGACCCCGAAGACGGTGACGAAGCAGCTTATTCGGGGAATGACAATTCCCCTCGACACACACCCACGGGACTCCAGATTCTAGGCCTCTGGGTCTCCGTCCAGCATCCGCCGCCGCCTTCTACGCGTGAGCCTTCAACCTTGTCGCAGGCTCTGGGGGGGGAACATAAGGCAAAATGGAAAGAAGCGATGGAAAAGGAGTTAAAAGCTCTGCAAGACCGAGAAACATGGAAACTGGTACCTGCAACGAGCATCAACGGGAAGAACGTTCTCTCGGGGAAATGGGTGTACCGCATCAAGACCAACTCAGACGGCTCCATCGAACGATTCAAAGCTCGATGGGTCGTACGAGGCTTCGATCAACGATACGGAACCGACTACACAGAAACCTTCGCCCCAGTCTCCCGTCACACCTCATTACGCATCCTACTCGCCGTCGCGGCCACAAAAACACTACCACTACGCCAAATCGATGTCGCGAATGCGTTCCTATACGCACCTGTGGACGCTGAGATCTTCGTCGAACAACCCCACGGATTCATCGACGACCCCACGAAAATATGCCGACTGACAAAATCCCTATACGGGATCAAGCAAGCCCCGCGGCTCTGGCAGCAGCATCTTCACAGCCGTCTCGTAAAAATCGGCTTCCTACAGCTGCCGCATGACCAAGGGATGTACCGACTGCAGAAGGGAAGAGAGTATGTTCTGCTCATCGTCTACGTCGACGACCTGCTCTACATCGGCTCAACTACCGACATCGCCACCTGGTTCGAAGGGGAGCTGAAAGAAGATTTAACTCTCACGGTGTCCGACGAAGTTACGCAGTACCTAGGACTGAACGTCGTCGAAGACGACACGGCGTTCTACCTACACGCTGGAAAGTACTCAAGCACCGTCGCGAAGAAATTCGCTCTAACACCGACTGCGGTCCCAACTCCCTACCGCTACGGGAACAACGGCAGCGCCTCTACAAAACTCCCCGCGAAACAAATCCAGGAGTATCAACAGAAGCTCGGCTGCCTACTATTCGCAGCAGTAACCTGCCGACCCGACCTATCCTATAGTGCGAGTCAGCTGGCGACACATCTGAAGCATCCGCAACAGGAAGATCTCGAAGAACTCAATCGAGCGCTACTCTACTTCGTCTCCACGCCGACGATCGGGCTTACCTACAGCAAGGCAACAACACCGTCCGTACGACTACTCGGATACGTCGACGCCGACCACGCGGGAGACAGCGAAAATCGACGGTCTAGGACGGGCTACATCTACCGACTAGAACCTATCGGAACTATCTCCTGGCAGTCGAGCAAGCAGGAGTTAATCGCACTATCCTCGGCTGAAGCAGAGTATATCGCCCTTTGTACTGCGACCAAGGAAGGACTCTACCTACGAGAGTTACTCGAAGAAGCGAAGATCGCGACCCTGCCCGCCTTCTCACTCCTCTGCGACAACCAATCTGCGATCAAAATCGCGAACAAGGACGGCTTCGCCAATCGAACCAAGCACATCGCCCTGCGGTACTTCTTCGTCAAGGATGAAATCGCGAAGGGGAGACTTCAACTCAGTTACTGCCCGACGACAGAAATGGCCGCAGATTATCTGACGAAGAAATTGGCGAAAGCAAAATTCGACTACTGCATGCTCCTAACCGGGCAAACAAACGCCACCAGATCTGAACACTCCAGCACTCCAGAAACGAAGGGGAGTGTTGGAAATATCTCAAGGACTTAAGCGTTTCTGAAGTTTAACACTGTACTCGAGGAAGACTACAGGGGAGCACGCGAGTCAACGGAGGTTACACGAGGGGGCGGACAAAGAATGCGAAAGGACTCGAAAGGTTGCAACTGGAGGTTGCGACTGACCGTTACAACATCACGGATGGTAACCGAAGCGGCAATCGAGTCGCTGTGCGACTCGATAAACCGTTCCTGTAACTGTATTCTACAACTGCTTTCTTATCTACTATATATTGCTGTATGCTTGTTTCTTTAATCAATCACTTGTTCTCACATACTAGTACAAGGGTTCAACTGCCTCAACTTCCGCTGCACTACTCCAAGTCTCAAGTCTCTACAAGCTGGGACTTAGTCTCTGCAAAAGATCCTAAGGGCTTTTTCTCAGCCCAACAAACAGCAACAATTACAAGCTGCTGCATCAGAGGCACTGGCATGCTCGTGGCCAGCTAAGACTGAACAAGCCACAGTGGCGATGTGGCAAGTACCAAGCGCTAGAATGTACTACTATCCCATCCCATACCAACACGCTGCCTGCAACCCAGCCTAGCCTTGTGCCACCGGCCCACCAGTGGCCCAGTCTATGTGGCATAAGCGGGGTGGTCCGCCCCCGGACCGCAGTCCTCTTGAGGCGGCAGCCAGTGGCTGCTGAGGCGCCTGAAGCGCGTTGCGGCGTCCACCAGCACGCGCTTCAGCGCCAGGCCCAGTGCTGCAGCCAGCACGCACAGCGCTGCAAACACCACACGCACCTTCAGCGCCACACTGCCCCCCATCCGCCCAAACGCCGTCCCCAGCAGCAGCCATAACCGCTTCCTCCTCGCTGCTGACTCCGCTGCTGTCGCCCGCCCCTCCCCCTCCTCCCACTCGCCCTCGCTCTCACTGCCACTCTCGTTCCCACCCCCACCGCTGGATAGACTAGCAGACGCTGCTCCCACAAGGCTCCCAGTGGGGGGAGGGGGTGGGGAGGGTGCGAGGAGGCGCGTGGGCCGCGAGGAGAGCTGCGAGGCGGTGATGGCGTCCAGCGGCAGCTGCGCCACGCCCAGGGACGCGCACAGGGAGTCCGCCACCACGCGCGCCAGCTTGTCCCGTGCCATGGCCGCCTCGGGGGACACAAAGGCCTCCGCTAGCGCCCGCATGTCCTGGGGGGGAAAGAGGAGGGCCAAAGGGCGAGTGAGTTGATTATATGGAGCAACACAGTGTTGGCATAACACAGGGTTATCCAACCCCGGCAAGGGCCAACCTGTCAGCATGACTGCTAGCACCCGCATGTCCTGGGGGGAGGGGGGGAGAGGAGGGCCAAGGGTTGAGTGATGTTTTGGTGAAGGCAGAAACGCATTGTTTGCATCGCACAACGAGTAGTCCAACCCAGTCAACACCCAATCCCGCCAGCATAGCCACCACACAGCAAGAGCCCGCGCTTTTGTATGACCCCCCGGGTGCTGCCAGCGTCCTTGGAAAGCAGCAGGTCCATCACCAGTGACGCGGGGCTGGGGGGCGGGCAGATGAGCATGGCAGGCATGTGGGGAGGCCCTCAAGCAGCACAGCGAGGGACGCGTACCGACTCGAGGATGACCCGCCTGGCGCTGGCAGCGTCCTTGGAGAGCAGCAGGTCCATCACCAACGACGCGGGGCTCGTGGTGCCACGGGGCGTAGAGGAGGAGGAGGAGGCAGGCGAGGCAGCGGGCATGCCAGGGATGGGGTAGGCGGGGGGCGGCTGCATGGATGGCATGCCCAGTGACGCCACCAGGTCGCTGGGGGTGGGGGGGAGGGCGGGGGAAGGGAAGGGGGGAGGAGAAGAGGGAAAAGGGGAAGCAAGACATGGCGTTGGGGAAGCAAGACATGGCGTTGGGGAAGGGAGGACACAGCACGGAGGCCAGTGGGACGATGGGAGGGAGGCATGCATGGCTGTATGGATACATGGTGAAATGTTCAAACGTGCCTCACCGCACAAAGACAGTGCAATCCCTCATGGCATGAGCAGCCTGCTGCAGTTGGCTCGCTTGGTTCCACAACCCTGCCGTGCTCTAACCCCTGCCCGTGCTCTAACCCCTGCCCGTGCTCTAACCCCTGCGCCCTACCCACCGCTGCGCGTGGTTGGAGCTATTGACACCCCTTCCCCACCTGCACCTGCCAACGCCTTCACCCTGCCCCTCCCCCCACGCACCGCTGCGCCTGGTTGGAGCTAGCAGCAAAGGAGGCGAAGCGCTCCCACCGCAGCTTGCCCTCACGCGTGTGCATCAGCTGGGGGGGGGAACAGGGGGAGGAGAGACGAGGGTGGGGAGGGGAGGGGTGGAGAGGCGATGCAGGGAAAGCAGGGGCTCAGGTGAGATGGGGCTCAGGTGAGATGGGGCCATCAGCGGCTGTCCCTGATGGCCTCCTGCAGCCCCCAGCACCATCTCCCCGCCAAGTCGCCACGTGCCACTCCAACACAACCCCTGCCACTCCTGCTGCCATACCTCTCCCTCTCCCGCACTCTCCTCCAATCCCCATCCATCACAGCACTTGCCATGGCGAGGGTGAACTGCCAGGGAGCAGGTGACTCACTCTCGTGAACAGAGCACCCCTTTTTCCCCCCCACACATGTAGCATCACGACCACCCCACACATGTAGCATCACGACCCCCCCACCCCCACCCCCACCTGGCGCAGCACTTGTCTGGACGAGGGCGAGCTGTCAGTGAGCAGGCGGCGCACGACATAGGGGTAGGCGGAGGCAAAGACACGGAAGGACGGGTCCACCGCCACACCAATGCCTGGGGGGGGGGAATGGGAGAGATTGAGGGTTGATCGGGAGGGGGGTAATGGAGGAGTCAAATGGAACCACGTAGGGATGGGCAGAGGCAAAGCCACAGCAGCACGGTCCACCGCCACGCCGATGCCTGGTGGAGATAGAGGTGGGAGGAATGGAGGGAGGAAAGAATGTGTAGGAGGTGCAAATGAGCAACGCGGCAGGGACTGAAGGGGATGCCTTGCGAGGAAGCACAGAGAGGGATGCGACGCACCCTCCAGCGAGGCGAGGGAGCGCAGCACGAGGGTGTAGTAGGGCGGCAGGCGGAAGCGGAAGCGCAGAGCCATGCGCCACAGCTCACTGGTAACCTGGAGATGGGAGGGCATGTGCCAAGACAGTAGGGTGCACAGTCAAGGTGCCGATGGGGGCAAGACGAGACAATCATAGCTTTCAGGGCACGTGGCAAGACGCTTGGAGAGTTGAAAGTAGAGGAAGAATGATTGGAAGCGGGCGACAAGGCAAGGGCAAGTGCACAGCACGGCAGGTTGTGGCAGCACGGTCACCTGTCCAAACTGCAGGTTGGGCACGCCTGAGCCCGCTCCTCTCTGCCTGCCGCGACCAAAGGCCTCCTCCAACGCCTGGCAGGAGGGCAGCGTGGGGTGGCAGTGGGGGGTTGGTGGCAGGGATAGTGAGAGTGGGGCGTGAGGGATCAGACAGGCATGTGACAAGGGTCTTGTTGATCAGCCAGCATAGTTCACCAGGCACAGAGCACAGGGAGAGAACCGCGGAGAGAGAGCACTGACCATGGCAGAGCACCCACCTTGGTAAGACCGCGCCCGTCGGTGGAGGGTTTGAGCACGTCCATGGCGGCGAGGTCGGCTGGGCAGCTTGCTGGGCAAGGCACACAGTGTGAGGGACAACCCTAGCCACGGCGACAACCCTAGCAAATGAGAGCGAGAGCACCCACCATGGTGAGAGCGCGCCTGTTGATGGTGGGCTTGAGCACGTCCATGGCAGCGAGGTCGGCGGCCAGCATGCTGAGTTAGGCACACAGTGTGAAGGACAACCCTAGCCACGGCAACTCTGGCAAATCAGAGTGCGAGCACGCACCATGGTGAGGGCGCGCCTGTCAGTGGTGGGCTTGAGCACGTCCATGGCAGCCAGCATGCTGGGTGAGGCACACAGCGTGAGGGACAACCCCAACCATAGCGAGAGCACAAATCAAAGTGAGAGCACTGACCATGGTGAGGGCGCGCCTGTCGGTGGTGGGTTTGAGCACGTCCATGGCAGCGAGGTCGGCGGCCAGCATGCTCCACTCGCCGTTCACCAGATGCGCCACGGCCGCCAGCATGGCCTGCTGGTGCTGCCGCTCCATGCGGCACAGCAGCCCGAAGTCCAGGTAGCTGGGGGCAGGGGGGGGGACAAAGACGGGGGAGGGTTGCGATGGGAGGGAGGAGGAATAGGAAGCACGCAGGCATGAGGGAGGGTGGGTGTGCACGTGCATGTGTGCATGTCAGTGACTGAACGTGCCCAAGCAATATGTGGAAAGGGGAAGGTGGGAGCAGGGCATACGCGACTTTCCCCTGAGGCGTGAGCAACAGGTTGCCGGGGTGCGGGTCGGCGTGCAGCACGCCCGTGACCAGCAGCTGCTCCAGCGACGACTCCACGCCGATGCCCACCTGCCAGCCCAGGGTACCCAGGGTGTGGGTGGGTCAAGGAGCATGGGGCACGTGGGCTTTACGGCGAGTCTAGGAGCATGGGGGGGAGAATGGGGGATGCATGGGGGGGGGATGAATCGGGGGGGGGATGCATAGGGGGGGATGAATCGGGGGGGATGGATAGGGGGGATGCATAGGGGGGGATGCATAGGGGGGGATGCATAGGGGGGGATGCATAGGGGGGGATGCATAGGGGGGGATGCATAGGGGGGGATGCATAGGGGGGGATGCATAGGGGGGGATGCATAGGGGGGGATGCACATGGGGAGATGGATAGGGGGGAATGCATAGGGGGGGGTTGCATAGGCACATTGAAAGGCACACTGAAAGGCACATTGAAAGGCACATTGAAAGGCACATTGAAAGGCACATTGAAAGGCACAGTGAAAGAGACCGTGCTTTTGGATGTAGTCGAGACATGAAGCCATGGAGGCAGCCATGGACGCATCATCATTCCCCCCCCACCATTCATCGCCCAGCATGGTTTTCAGCCCTCACCATTCGGAGGAGCTTCTGCTTGGCCCTCTGCCTGTCTTCCTCGCTGGCGCCCGCCCCCAGCACGCCCTGCGCCTGTGCCAGCAGGTCGCTGGTGCGCTCGCCGTCCACCCACTGCATGGTCAGCACGCGGCGAGACGACAGGTCGAGGCGGATGGACGGCACTGTGATGCCGGGCACATGCGCATGCACGCGCTGGTGTGGGGAGAGGGGTATGCGGCATGGGGGTTCCAGGGAAGGGGGTTTGGGGTTGAGGGGGAATGGGAGGTCCAGCCACGTGGATCGAGGGCACTGTGATGCCGGCAGGTGTGCATGCACGCGCTGGGTTGTGTGGGATAGGGAGGGGAGGGAGGGCCGTTTGGAGGGGATGAGGGGATGAGCGGTTGGATGGAGGGGGCTGTGATGCGGGTGGATGGAGGGGGCTGCGATGCGGGTGGATGGAGGGGGCTGTGATGCGGGTGGATGGAGGGGGGTGTGATGCGGGTGGATGGAGGGGGCTGCGATGCGGGTGGATGGAGGGGGCTGCGATGCGGGTGGATGGGGACGCGCGTGTGAGGAGACGTGGAATGATGGAGGTGAGCTGCGGAAGCAGAGAGATGGTGAGCTGCGGAAGCAGAGAGATATCGATATGGATCCACGCGTGGCGCAAGCAAGGCTGCGGTGAGCAACCTATGGCAGCACCACAAGCAACCCATGGCAGCACCACAAGCAACACCGCACGGCACAAGTGCACCCAAGACTGACAGCAAACTCCATGGCATTGGCGGCCTCCTGGCGGTAGTCCAGCTCGCCGTACAGCCCCCTCCCGAACTCATCCGCCAGCAGCGCCAGGTCCGTGGCGATGCCCGCCACCCGCCTGATAGCACGCAGCTGGCAGGGAGGGAGAGGGAGAGAGGTTTGCAGGTAAGGCGGGAGCAGGCTGGGAGGCGCCTGAATCTGATGGACAGCAGGCAACCCCCCTTGGCGTGCAACCAATCCCCCCTGAGGAAGCCTGTGGCAGCGCTGACTGACCAGCATTCTGAGGATGTGCAGGTCCCTGGCGACGAGGAAGAGCACCCGCGGCCGCTGCACCTTCACTGCCACGCGCATGCCATCCCGCGTGCGCCCCTTGTACACCTGGCGGTGGGGGCGGTCATGTGCGGTCACATGCGGTCACATGCATGCATGATTCGACAGAGGAACACATGCAGGCGTACGTGCGCAGTAGCCAAGCACAGCACTGCTGATCCACTCACATCTCCATGCGACGGCCACAACCACTCTCTCTCCCGCTCTCACCTGCCCGAACGAGGCAGCGGCGACTGGCACGGGGGAGAGCAGCGGGAAGAGCGCGGCGGCGGGGCGGCCGAGCTCCCTCTCGATGACGGCCATGGCGTCCTCCGAGGGGAACGCAGGCAGCCGGTCCTGCAGCTCCGCCAGCACCTGCCAGACACGTGGTGGGTGGGAGGGTGGGGGGGTGGGTGTGTGGGTGGGAGGGAGGGAGGGAGTTGCGGGGGGGACCGGGAAGGCGGAGGACAGGCGGTGAGGAGGGGGAGAGGGCAAGTGAGGAGCGGACTGAAGCCGAGCCGCGGACGTAGGACCTCTCACACTGACGGCCAGGGCGTCCTCCGAGGGGAAAGGAGGCAGGCGGGCGTGCAGCTCCACTCGCACGTGACGGTGGTGGCAGGGAGGGGGGTGAGGGAGGGGAGGGGAGGGAGCAGTGGCAGAGGAGTTAGGCGCACTTGAAGCTCAGCCGGCTCTGAGCCGGGGCTGTGAGGGGAATGCGGGCAGCCAAACCCCCCCAGCTCTGATAGCAGCTGGAGGTGGCAGGGAGGGGGGCGGGATGTCGCATGACCTCCTCTGTCTCCGTAGCTCACCCCTGGACCGCCTATCCTGACTCCTGAGCTGCTTTGCCCTGCCTGCGCTTGTACGTAATGAGTTCTGATTCCCCGGACCCCTATGAAAAAGCCCGAGACTGAGATCTCGCACCCTGCTCCTCCTAATTATTCCTCTGTCCGGCCTCCCTACATGGATCTAGCTTGGCTCAGAAGTAGTTCCACTAGTAAAAGAGCATACAAGCTTTCCCATGACAACGAGAGAACAAACAGAGTAGCAACAACTACCCAACCTACTTGCTTTTGTGCTCCTCCTCCTAACGGCCCTACTCCCAAGCCAAACCCTACCCTCCCAGCTGCTTCCGCCGCACGCCGTTTTCGGGATTTACTCCTCCTGTGATGGCCCGTAATCCCTGCCATCGACTCCCCACTCTCATTCGCCGCATGCTGCCGTCCGAACCGCTCTCCCTGACTGCTTACCTGTCATGCCCCTCCGGCTTCCTTCCTAGCTGGCCAACCGCGCCCCACTCGCCCATCACTGTACCTTCATCAAAAGTGTTGACGCCTATGTACACCATATACATTTGCTTACGACTTCCTCAGGACCTTACAATTCTTTCTTGCACCTCCCGCGCTGTCCCACGAAACTCGGTAACGAGGACAGTGAGTTTCGTGCGACAGGGATAAGAGGCGCCACGGGAGTTAGGCCGAATGGGCATCAGGCATGGAGGGAAAGCCTCCACATTGGCAGCAGCCCAGGCCCTGCGGGAGGGCTCCAGGCCCTAAGCCCGGACCTATGACTTGCCACTGCCTCCCCGTGCCCGTGCTTGCTCTCACTCTCACGCCTTCCCCTGCGGCCACTGCCCCGAAAGACACCCCTGCGGCCACTGCCCCGAAAGACACCCCTGCGGCCACTGCCCCGAAAGACACCCCTGCGTCTCACCTTGGCGGTGTCAGGGCCCCCCTGCCTCTTGGCGGTGACCCCCCCTGACCCCCCCTGACCCCCCCTGAACTCCCCTGACCCCCCCTGACCCCCCCTGAGCCCCCCTGCGTCTCACCTTGGCGGTGTCAGGGCCCACCACGTCCGGCCGCGCTGACAGCGACTGCGCCACTGGGGCGGGCGCGGGTGTGTGGGGGGGGGTGTGAGGGGGAATGGGCAGAGGGGCGGGAGGGCAGAGGGGGGTCTTAGGGTGGAGGGGGACTGGGCGTTGAGAGAAACCCCATAGCATGCCATGCCATGCCATGTCATGTGGTGTGGTGTCAGGCGGCTCGAAGCACACATAGTGCAATGCTCTTAGGCGATGAAGGGCACATACGGCACCTTTAATGAAGGTGGGCCCGAGTCTGAGCAGCGTGCGCTTGAGCTTGAGCGCGCTGTGCTGCCGGATGGCAGCGATGCTCTCGTCGTCCACGCGCACGCCGCCCGCCTCCCTTGCGCGGATGGTGCTGGTGTCGTGCAGCACCTGCACCCACGTCAGCACCAGGAACACCGAGATCTGCAAGCGGGCGGGGAGCAGGGGTGCGTGAGGGGAGCGTGGGGTGTGTGGGGAGGAGAGGACGAGGAGGGAGATTCCAGGCTGCCTGCACCCACGTTCCCTGGGCGCTTGCTATTTGCACAGCAGAGCAGCAGCGCCTCACCTTGAGCGTGCGCAGCAGCACGATGTGCGGGCGGCGGTCGAAGTAGTGCGCCACGTCATCGGGGTCGTACTCGTACTGCAGTGGCACCCGCCAGCTCGCCAGCCACCACCGCGCCACGTCCCCCGTCGCGCGCACGTACTCTGCGTCCGCCGCCAGAATGCCCCCCGCGCTCGCACGCGCGCACGCTGGGAGGGGCGCATCGCGATGGGGTCCAAGTGGGGGGGAGAGGGGGGAGGGGGGGGGGGGGGGGAGGGGGCAGAGGGGAGTGGGGATGTGGAAGGGGAAACGGACGCTGTCAGGAACTCGGGCGAATGTGAATGAGCTGCGCGGTGCCATGGAATACGCGCTGTAAGCATGCCGGAGCGAATGAGTTGCGGGGTGGCGGGAGCACTTGCGCGCGCACCGTCATACGTGGGCGGCAGCGGCGGCATTGGCTGCCTGACAGCCGTGTCGTCTTCGAGAAAGCGCAGCTCCACCAGGTCGCGCACCCACCCCGCCCACGACCAGTGCGAGAGGAAGCTGTCCTCCTCCTCCCACTCCTCCTCGCTCAACTCGCCCTCGCTTAACTCCTCCTTCATTACCGCCACTTCCTCTACCTCCCCTTCCGCTACCGCCTCCCCCTCCGCTCTCCCCGCTGCCCATCCGCCCCCTCGCGAGGCCTGCGCCGCTTGGTCTCCCCCAGGCCCCGCGTCGGTTCGTCTCTCGCTCGATCCGCCCTCCGTTGCGGCAGTCGCTTCCAGGACCGGACTCGCCCTGGCTCGACACGTGGCATCGAGCCGCGGAGATACCGATGGTTGGGGCAGCGAGGGACTAAAGGGCGAGCGGTAATGAACCCCGTTTATTTGACCACCTGTACTTAATCTTAATCTACTCGCATTGCGCTCGGACAGACCGCGTAAGGACGCCGCTTTGGCATTCTTTCGTTCTAAATTCCCATGCTGCGCCGAGGGACCTTCGCGTCGCGATGCTTTTGCTCGCGGCTGGCGCGAGCTCCCCACGGGAAGAGAGTGCCCGAGCGGTCGCGAGTTTCCCAGTGGTTGCCGCGATCGGCGGCGCTGCGGCAGCAGGCTGCAAGGCGGTGGGCACGGCGGGCGACACGCGCTCAATGCGGCGCCCACGCGGTCGTGCATGGCTCCACCGCTACCGTGCGACGCGCTGCGAGCTGGAGGAAACGCTAGGAGTTGAGAGGAAGGCGATACGCACCAGATCACACTAACGGTAATGCTAGAGAAGCGAGAACAGCATGTACGAACTAACTGTAAGGCCTAGATCATGGTTTGCTTCGGATTCAGCACGGTAGAGCACGCTGCCGTCGCCGCTGCCGCTCGTGATGTGGTAATCTGCTCCTGGCGCCGTAGCTGCATAGTAGGTAGCGTGCTACAGCAGACAGACAGCATGCATTCTAGAGGCTAGAGACTAGAGAGACTAGAGCAGGCTTGCCCGAGGATGTGGCGAGCGATCTGCGAGAGAGGTGCAAGGCGCATGCCATGATGGCATAACTGGCAGTGCAGTGGTGGCGCGGCCTGACACGCGTCAGACGCGGGGAGGGAAAAGCGCACTCGAGCCTCGACATAGGGTACTCGAGCTCGATATAGTCGCGCACGGTGCAAGGTCAGCGTGATCATTAGTCAGAATAAATTTGGACAGTATGTACACTTGTTTGAATTTACCAATATCCAAAGCAATCCATCCAAAAAAAACTATTTAACATTCTATGGAACCTTGAAAAAACGTCGGATAGACATCTGGTTGTCGGATTCAGCAGCCTCAGAGGACCCTTTCCTACGCTTGGGCGCCGGTCTCAAGCCTCTTGCGCCTTGCTGATGCCGCTTTGTTGAAACGGGCGATGCCAACTTGGAAGAAGTGAGAGTTGAAACAACAAGGGAAGCAAGGGTAGAACCCGATATTTGCTGCTCAGGCTGTGTTGAAGGTAGAGAGGCGTGGACGCGGGCATCTTGGGGGAGAGGTGTCGCGGGAACCAACCCTTCACCCAGGCCATTCTCCCTACGGTTCACACCCTCGGCACCTTGACAATTATCTTGGCAATCGTCATGTTCCTCATCACCCTCGCAATCACCCTTTGGCTGCTCCTTCTCGCCTCCCTCACTCGCCCGGCTACCCTCGCCATCCCTAACCCCAATCTCATCTTGTGCTTCCTGCACCGCAGTCTCCTCCGCATCCTTCATTCTGCTGCCTCCCTCCTCGCACTTCACTCCATGCCCTTCTCTCACTGCACCAACATCCACTTCCTGCCTCTCCACCCCTCCTGAGCCTCCCGCATTAATGGCTGGCACCTTTTGTCTCTTGCGGGCAAAGAACTGAGTGATTGGTGTGGATGCGACAGCAGGCTTCAACGGAATCTGTGAGGGCAGTGGTGGGAGGGCAAAGGAAACCGTGCAAACAGGTTGGGGCACAACAGCAGGAGGTAGGGTTGCCAGGTCAACAAAGCCTGCCTTCCAGGTGCTTCATGTGTCCACCCCTCTTCTTCCAACCCCACCAACCTGCAACCAACGAGCCTTGCTACTGCCCATCTGGGTGATCCATCCCACCCATCCCCCCCCCCGCCTCTCTTACCGCCTGCACGCACTGCGGGCCGTCGAAGGACGGCTTGCCCACTTGGGGCGTCACGGCGTGCCACACCTGAATGACAACCAGGGGGCAGCCGTGAATGGTTAGCCCAATTGAAAGAACGAGATAGGTAGCGCAGGGGGAAAGCGCAGGCAGTCAGAAAAGATGCGATCGGAAGGGGGGACAAGCCGATGGTACTGACGAGGTCGGGGTGGTTGTAGGGCGCGCAGAGCGAGGCGATGGAGTGAGGCCCTGAGAGCTTGCCGTGCAGCCATGCTGACATGTGGTGCTGGGAGGCCAGGATGGCCGGCATGCGATCTGATGGCGGGGCAGGGGGAGAGGACGCATGGCACACCGCACACATGCAAGGAATGTGCCGGGACGTTCCACTAGCCCCCGTGCCACTAGCCCCCCTGCCACTACCCCCCCTGCCACTAACCCCCACTACCCTCCGTGCCACTACCCTCCGTGCCACTACCCTCCGTGCCACTACCCTCCGTGCCACTAGCCCCTGCCACGGCTCTCACCATGCAGCCACTGCAGCCGCTGGGAAGCTGCTGTTGTGACTATAGTGAATGTGAAGAGCTCGTCACCTGGCGTGGCAGCAAGCAAGACGGCAAGCAGAAGGAAAGGAAGGAAAGAAGAAACCATGTGCGACCAAGGAACACGAGGGAGAGAGGCAGAGAGGCAGAGAGGCAGAGAGGCAGAGAGGCAGAGAGGCAGAGAAGCAGAGAGGCAGAGAGGCAGAGAGGCAGAGAGGCAGAGAGGCAGAGAGGCAGAGAGGCAGAGAGGCAGAGAGGGAGAGAGGCAGAGAGGCAGAGAGGCAGAGAGGCAGAGAGGCAGAGAGGCAGAGAGGCAGAGAGGCAGAGAGGCAGAGAGGCAGAGAGGCAGAGAGGCAGAGAGGCAGAGAGGCAGAGAGGCAGAGAGGCAGAGAGGCAGAGAGGCAGAGAGGCAGAGAGGCAGAGAGGCAGAGAGGCAGAGAGGCAGAGAGGCAGAGAGGCAGAGAGGCAGAGAGGCAGAGAGGCAGAGAGGCAGAGAGGCAGAGAGGCAGAGAGGCAGAGAGGCAGAGAGGCAGAGAGGCAGAGAGGCAGAGAGGCAGAGAGGCAGAGAGGCAGAGAGGCAGAGAGGCAGAGAGGCAGAGAGGCAGAGAGGCAGAGAGGCAGAGAGGCAGAGAGGCAGAGAGGCAGAGAGGCAGAGAGGCAGAGAGGCAGAGAGGCAGAGAGGCACAGAGGCAGAGAGGCACAGAGGCAGAGGGGCAGAGAGGCAGAGAGGCAGAGAGGCAGAGAGGCAGAGAGGCAGAGAGGCAGAGAGGCAGAGAGGCAGAGAGGCAGAGAGGCAGAGAGGCAGAGAGGCAGAGAGGCAGAGAGGCAGAGAGGCAGAGAGGCAGAGAGGCAGAGAGGCAGAGAGGCAGAGAGGCAGAGAGGCAGAGAGGCAGAGAGGCAGAGGCAGAGAGGCAGAGAGGCAGAGAGGCAGAGAGGCAGAGAGGCAGAGAGGCAGAGAGGCAGAGAGGCAGAGAGGCAGAGAGGCAGAGAGGCAGAGAGGCAGAGAGGCAGAGAGGCAGAGAGGCAGAGAGGCAGAGAGGCAGAGAGGCAGAGAGGCAGAGAGGCAGAGAGGCAGAGAGGCAGAGAGGCAGAGAGGCAGAGAGGCAGAGAGGCAGAGAGGCAGAGAGGCAGAGAGGCAGAGAGGCAGAGAGGCAGAGGGGCAGAGAGGCAGAGAGGCAGAGAGGCAGAGAGGCAGAGAGGCAGAGAGGCAGAGAGGCAGAGAGGCAGAGAGGCAGAGAGGCAGAGAGGCAGAGAGGCAGAGAGGCAGAGAGGCAGAGAGGCAGAGAGGCAGAGAGGCAGAGAGGCAGAGAGGCAGAGAGGCAGAGAGGCAGAGAGGCAGAGAGGCAGAGAGGCAGAGAGGCAGAGAGGCAGAGAGGCAGAGAGGCAGAGAGGCAGAGAGGGAGAGAGGCAGAGAGGCAGAGAGGCAGAGAGGCAGAGAGGCAGAGAGGCAGAGAGGCAGAGAGGCAGAGAGGCAGAGAGGCAGAGAGGCAGAGAGGCAGAGAGGCAGAGAGGCAGAGAGGCAGAGAGGCAGAGAGGCAGAGAGGCAGAGAGGCAGAGAGGGAGAGAGGCAGAGAGGCACAGAGGCAGAGAGGCACAGAGGCAGAGGGGCAGAGAGGCAGAGAGGCAGAGAGGCAGAGAGGCAGAGAGGCAGAGAGGCAGAGAGGCAGAGAGGCAGAGAGGCAGAGAGGCAGAGAGGCAGAGAGGCAGAGAGGGAGAGAGGCAGAGAGGCAGAGAGGCAGAGAGGCAGACAGGCAGAGAGGCAGAGAGGCAGAGAGGCAGAGAGGCAGAGAGGCAGAGAGGCAGAGATGTTGTAATATATATATCTATACAACATGCATGCCTAGATAAGGAGGTGTAGTCATTATAATTATTGGGGGGTTGTTGGTTGGGTTGACCAACCCCACATTTGGGTTGGTCAAGATTGGATTTGGTCCTAGACATTTGGTTGGCACTATTCCAACCAAATGGTCCTTGGTCCTAGGAACCAACCAATCACCAAGCACCACACTTTGTGGTTGCTTGCCTTCCAAGCAATCTCTCTCATTGGTCCGCTTTGTGGCCAATCGGAGAGCACCACACTTTGTGGTTGCTTGCCCTACAAGCAACCTCTCCCATTGGTCCACTTTATGGCCAAATGGGAGAGCTTCCCCTCCAACGCTTCTTGCTCCTTGTTTTGTACAAAAGAGCCTCTTGGCTCCCTACTCAATTTAATCTTTTCTCTTCCAAGCCAATTCCTTCAAGAGAGGCAGAGAGGGAGAGAGGCAGAGAGGCACAGAGGCAGAGAGGCACAGAGGCAGAGGGGCAGAGAGGCAGAGAGGCAGAGAGGCAGAGAGGCAGAGAGGCAGAGAGGCAGAGAGGCAGAGAGGCAGAGAGGCAGAGAGGCAGAGAGGCAGAGAGGCAGAGAGGCAGAGAGGCAGAGAGGCAGAGAGGGAGAGAGGCAGAGAGGCAGAGAGGCAGAGAGGCAGAGAGGCAGAGAGGCAGAGAGGCAGAGAGGCAGAGAGGCAGAGAGGCAGAGAGGCAGAGAGGCAGAGAGGCAGAGAGGCAGAGAGGGAGAGAGGGAGAGAGGCAGAGAGGCAGAGAGGCAGAGAGGCAGAGAGGCAGCGAGGCAGAGAGGCAGAGAGGCAGAGAGGCAGAGAGGCAGAGAGGCAGAGAGGGAGAGAGGGAGAGAGGGAGAGAGGCAGAGAGGCAGAGAGGCAGAGAGGCAGAGAGGGAGAGAGGCAGAGAGGCAGAGAGGCAGAGAGGCAGAGAGGCAGAGAGGCAGAGAGGCAGAGAGGGAGAGAGGCAGAGAGGCAGAGAGGCAGAGAGGCAGAGAGGCAGAGAGGGAGAGAGGCAGAGAGGCAGAGAGGCAGAGAGGCAGAGAGGCAGAGAGGCAGAGAGGCAGAGAGGGAGACGCAGGAGGAGGGGATGAATGAGGGCGAGGTCAAGCGCGTGCAGGGGGTGCGATGAGGGAATGGAGGCTACCCATGGTGGCCATGCCGCCCTGTGCGTCTCGCCCCTCACTGTGCTTGTCTCACCCCTCGCCCCCTCGCAGTGCGCCCCTCTCCCTCTCACCCTGTGTGTCTCACCCCTCGACCTGTCCCTCTCACCCTGTGCGTTGGTCCAGCGGTCAAACAGCCCCGCCATCACCATGGGCCGCTCGTCGCTCATGTGGATGTAGAATGGCTGCTTCTTGGAGCCTTCCTTCTTCCACTCGTAGAATCTGGCATGGCGACACACACGAAGGTCAGTGAAAAGAGTCTCGAGATCCGTGCGTTTCGAAGCAGCCCCCTCACTCTCCGCCCCCACCACCACCCGCCCCTGCCTCACCCGCCCCTGCCTCACCCGCCCCTGCCTCACCCGCCCCTGCCTCACCCATCAAGCAGCAGGAGGCAGCGCCGGCCCGGCAGCGAGCAGGTGCTTGGGGCCTCTCACTCTCACCCTCTCACCCTCTCACCCTCTCACGCTCTCACCTTCTCACCCCCACCCCTTTCCACAGCACCCCTCGCTCACCCATGAAGCAGCAGCTCCCCTGGCTCTCGCTCACCCGTCCAGCAGCACGAGGCAGCGGCGGGCTGGCAGCAGGCGGCGGAAGGACGCCTTCTCGTGCAGCGACTCACAGCGCGCGTTGAACTGACACGCAGAGGGCGGGGGGAAAGTTGGGGGGGGGGGGGGGGGGAAGAGCAGACAGGAGGGCGGGAGAGGGGTGAGTGTGGGGGGGGCAGCTGCCAGGCACCTCCGGACAGCTCTGCGCATTCCCCATTCCCCATTCCCCATTCCCCATTCCCCATTCCCCATTCCCCAGCCCACTCCCCACTCCCCATTCCCCACTCCCCACTCGCCACTCCCCACCATTCCCAACCATTCCCCACCATTCCCCACCACTCCCCACTCCCCATTCCCTAGTCCTCCCCATTCCCCAGTCCTCCCCTTTCCCAAGTCCTCCCCATTCCCTAGCCCTCCGCATTCCCCAGTCTTCCCCATTTCCCAGTCATCCCCATTCCCCAGTGCGACACGCACGGTGATTGTGCGACGCCCACGGTGATTGTGCGACGCCCACGGTGATTGTGCGACATGCATGGTGATTGTGTGATATGCATGGTGGTTGTGCAACATGCACGGTGATTGTGCAACATGCACGGTGATTGTGCAAAAGGCACGGTGATTGTGCAACATGCACGGTGATTGTGCGACGTGCACGATGATTGTGCGAAGTGCAAGGTGATTGTGCGACGCGCACGGTGATTGTGCAACGTGCACGGTGATCGTGCAACATGCACGGTGATTGTGCAACATGCACGGTGATTGTGCAAAAGGCACGGTGATTGTGCGACGTGCACGGTGAGTGTGCGACATGCACGATGATTGTGCGAAGTGCAAGGTGATTGTGCGACGCGCACGGTGATTGTGCAACGTGCACGGTGATCGTGCGACATGCATGGTGATTGTGCGACGTGCACGGTGAGTGTGCGACATGCATGGTGATTGTGTGACATGCATGGTGATTGTGTGACGTGCATGGTGATTGTGCAACATGCATGGTATGCATGGTGATTGTGCGACGTGCATGGTGGTTGTGCGACGTCCACGGTGGTTGTGCGCCGGGCACGGTGGTTGTGCGACGTGTATGGTGCTTGTGCCACGTGCACGGTGATTGTGCGACGCACACGGTGATTGTGCGATGCGCACGGTGATTGTGCGACGCGCAGGGTGATTGTGCGACACATAGGGTGATTGTGCGACGTGCACGGTCGTTGTGCGACGTGCACGCTGATTGTGCAATGTGAGCAGTGATTTTGTGACGTGCACGGTGATTGTGCCACGTGCACGGTGATTGTGCAATGTGCACGGTGATTGTGCGACGCGCACGGTGATTGTGCGATGTTCACGGTGATTTTGCAACATGCACGGTGATTGTGCGACAAGCAAGGTGATTGTGCGACATGCACGGTGATGGTTCAACATGCATGGTGATCATGCGACATGCATGGTGATTGTGCGACATGCACAATGATTGTGCAACGTGCATGGTTATTGTGCGTCATACACGGTGATTGTGCGACATGCACGGTGATTGTGAAACATGCACGGTATGCACGGTGACTGTGCAACATGCACGGTGATTGGGTGACGTGCACGGTGATTGTGCGACGCACACGGTGAGGGTGCAACGGGCTCGGTGATTGTGCGACGTGCACAGTGGTTGTGGGACATGCACGATGGTTGCGCGACATGCACGTTGATTGTGCGACATGCATCGTGATTGTGCGACGTGCACGGTGATTGTGCGACTTGCACGGTGATTGTGCGACTTGCACGGTGATTGTGGAACGTGCACAGTGATTGTGCGACGCGCACGGTGATTGTGCGATGTGCACGGTGATTGTGCGACATGCACGGTTATTGTTCGACATGGATGGTGATTGTGCGACGCGCACGATGATTGTGCGACGTGCACGGTGATTGTGCGACGCGCACGGTGATTGTGCGATGTTCACGGAGATTGTGCGACATGCACGGTGATTGTGCAACGTGCACGGTGATTGTGCGACTTGCACGGTGATTGTGCGACGTTCACGGTGATTGTGCCACGTGCACAGTGATTGTGCAACGTGCACGTTGATTGCGCGACGTGCACGGTGATTGCGCGACGGGCGCTGTGATTGTGCGACGTGCACGGTGGTTGTGCGACGTGCACGATGATTGTGCGACATGCATGGTGATTGTGTGACGTGCATGGTGATTGTGCGACGTGCATGGTGATTGTGCGACATGCACGGTGATTGTTCGACATGTACGTTGAATGTGCGACGTGCACGGTGATTAAGCGACTTTCATAGTGATAGGGCGACGTTCACGGCGATTGTGCAACGTGCGCGGTGATTGTGCGATATGCATGGTGGATGTGCAACATGCACGTTGATTGTGCGATATGTTGTGAGACATGCACGGTGGTTGTGCAACATGCATGGTGATTGTGCGATGTGCACGGTGATTGTGCGACGTCCACGGTGATTGTGCGACGCGCACGGTGATTGTGTGATGTGCACGCCGGTTGTGCGACGTGCATGGTGGTTGTGGGACGTGCACGGTGGTTGTGCGACGTGCACGGTGGTTGTGCGACGTGCACGGTGATTGTGCGACGTGCACGGTGATTGTGCGACGTGCATGGTGATTATGCGAAGCGCACGGTGATTGTGTGATGTTCACGGTGATTGTGCGATGTTCACGGTGATTGTGCAACGTGCACTGTGATTGTGCAACGTGCACGGTGATTGTGCGACATGCCGGGTGATTGTGCGATGTGCACGGTAATTGTGCGACAAGCAAGGTGATTGTGCGACATGCATGGTGATTGTGCGACGTTCACGGTGATTGTGCGACGTGCACAGTGGTTGTGCGACGTGAACGGTGATTGTGCAACATGCATGGTATGCACGGTGAATTTGCGACGTGCACGGTTATTGTGTGACATACACGGTGATTGTGCGACATGCACGGTGACTGCACGACATGCATGGTGATTGTGCGACGTACACTGTAATTGGGTGACGTGCATGGTGAGTGTGCGACGGGTGCGGTGATTGTGCGACGTGCACAGTGCTTGTGGGACATGCACGGTGGTTGTGGGACGTGCATGGTGATTGTGCGACCTGCACGGTTTTTGGGCAACGTGCACTGTGATTGTGCGACATGCACGGTGATTGTACGATGTGCACGGAAATTGTGCGACGTGCACGGTGATTGTGCGACGCCCACCGTGATTGTGCGATGTTCCTGGTGCCTGTGCGTTGTTCACGGTGATTCTGCGACGTGCACGGTGATTGTGCGACGCCCACGGTGATTGTGCGATGTTCCCGGTGCTTGTGCGATGTTCACGGTGATTCTGCGACATGCACGGTGATTGTGCGACATGCACGATGATTGTGCGACGTCCACTGTGATTGTGCGACGTCCACGGTGAGTGTGCGACGTGCACGCTGATTGTGCGACGTTCACGGTGATTGTGCAACGTGCAAGGTGATTGTGCAACATGCATGGTGAGTGTGCGACGTGCACGGTGATTTAGCGACGTGCACGATGATTGTGCAGCGTTCATGGTGATTGTGCAACATGCACGGTGATTTTGCCACGTGCACAGTGATTGTACGACGTGCATGGTGATTGTGCGACGTGCACAATGGTTGTGGGACATGCACGGTGATTGTGCGACGTGTACGGTGATTGTGCGACGTGCACGGGGATTGTGTGACATACATTCTGATTGTGCGACTTGCACGGTGATTGTGCAACGTGTGCGGTGATTGTGCAATGTGCACGGTGATTGTGCCACGTGCACGGTGATTGTGCGACGCGCACGGTGATTGTGCGATGTTCACGGTGATTGTGCGACACGCATGGTGATTGTGCGACATGCATGGTATGCACGGTGATTGTGCCACGTTCACGGTGATTGTGCGACGTTCACAACAATTGTGTAACGTGCACGGTGATTGTGCGACGTCCACGGTGATTGTGCAACGCGCATAGTGATTGTGCGACGCGCACGGTGATTGTGCGATGTTCACGTTGATTTTGCGATGTTCACGTGGTTGTGCGACATGCATGGTGATTGTGCCACGTTCACGGTGATTGTGCGACGTCCACGGTGGTTGTGCGACGTGCACGGTGGTTTTGGGACGTGCACGGTGGTTGTGCGATGTGCACGGTGATTGTGCGATGTGCACGGTGATTGTGCGATGTGCACGGTGATTGTGCAATGTGCACGGTGATTGTGCGACATGCACGGTGATTGTGCAACCTGCATGGTGATTGTGCGACATGCATCGTGATTGTGCGACATGCACGGTGATTGTGCACCGTGAACGGTGAGGACAGGTGCGGCAAGGTGCGGTCCTCGAGCGGCAAGGGGCGGTTCTAGAGCGGCAAGGGGCGGTCCTAGAGCGGCAAGGGGCGGTCCTAGAGCGGCAAGGGGGGGTCCTAGAGCAGCAAGGTGTGATCCTAGAGCGGCAAGGTGTGGTCCTAGAGGGGCAAGGGGCGGTCCTAGAGCGGCAAGGGGCGGGCGGTCCTAGAGCAGCAAGGTGTGGTCCTACAGCAGCAAGGGCTGGTCGTAGAGCGGCAAGGGGCGGTCCTAGAGGGGCAAAGGGCGGTCCTAGAGCAGCAAGGTGCGGTCCTAGAGCGGCAAGGTGCGGTCCTAGAGCGGCAAGGTGCGGTCCTAGAGCGGCAAGGTGTGGTCCTAGAGCGGCAGGGGGGGTTTCTAGAGCGGAAGGGATGAGTCCAACAGCAGCAAGGGGTGGTCTTAGAGCGGCAAGGGGCGGTCCTAGAGTGGCAAGGGGCGGTCCTAGAGCGGCAGGGGGGGGTTCTAGAGCGGCAAGGTGCGGTCCTAGAGCGGTAGGGGGGGGTTCTTGAGCGGCAAGGGGAGTCTTTCCCGCCCAGTATTCCCCACTCCCCACCATTCCCCACTCCCCACCATTCCCCACTCCCCCTGACAGCTCTGCGCAGCTGTGAGGCACCTCCGGACAGCAGCATGAGCAGCAGCATAGCAGCGTACCATGCGGTAGTGGTCGGGCGGCTGGGCCTTGCTGCTGAACGACGGGATGAGCCCCCACTTCATCACCTGCACCTCCCCCTCCCCTTCCGCCCGCTCCTCCACCGCCCCCTCTGCCTGCTCCTCCCACCGCCCCTCCGCAGCCTCCCCCCGTTCCCCCGCCGCATGATCCTCCCCCTCCGCCGCTTCCTCCTTCCCCCTCGCTCCTCCTGCATCCTCCTGCGCGCGCCCGTCCGCTTCACCCCCCTCCGCCTCCGCGCACCCATTCCCCGCTACTTCCAGCTCCCCAGGTGCCATCTTGGCGGAGGCGGAAGCAGCGCGCGGGGAAGCGGAATGCGGGGCGGAAACGGGTGCGCGGACGACGACGGGCAGAAAGGTGCCGGGAGCGACGTTGAAGGAGGGCGAGTACCTGCCGGCACGTGCGGGCGGACCGGTGGGAGGAGAGACGGAAGGGTTTCGTGGCAAGTCTATCAGAGGCGGCTGCGATGAGTCGCGCGAACGGACCGCCACGAATCAAAGCGAGAGCTTCACGACGTTAGCGACGACGGCGGTTGGAATCGACGAGGGAAAGAGGAAAGCAGGCAGGCTGTGCACAGCGCCCGCTGGAGCGCGAGGCGTCTCAGGTGAAGGAGCGCACGAGGCTATTCGTTGCGGTTTTAAATGAGCGACGACGGACGGAAAAGGCACTGCGAACGCACAGGTGCTGGTCGCGCCAGGCGGGCCTCGCGCCTGTCGCGCGTGTGACGGCGTCGGGCGACAACGTGCAACGCGCCCGGCCGCACATCGCGGCGATGCCTAAATTGAGAGCTTAGGGGATGAAAGCGATCGCGCGACGAGACTAGGAGTTGCTTTGGCTGACGGAATCGAGAGCGGTGAAGGGAGAGACAAAAAAAGGAATGCTGATGGGTGCTGCTATCACATGCAGGAGATGTCGTCACGGCGACGACACGCCAGGTTAGGGGCTTTTCTGACGCTCGGAATCCCACAGCTGTGGTGAAGTGAAGCGCCGAAATTGGCGCCGAAGCTTTTGTGCAATGAAAAGTTGTGATTCGATATAGAGGGCCTTGAAAAGGGCGCTGCTACAACTCATTTGTTGAGTTCTATCGAGCTGTAGTCACGCTTGTAACCCAGTGAAACCTGAAATCCCTTTCAGGTGAAATGTTTTTGTAACGCGTACGGCAAATCCCATCCCCCTTATAGCTTTCACCATTTCATTCCTCTTTCTCTCCCAGCAGCCGCACGCGCCTCCTCTTCTCCGTCGTGCCGCTGCCACGTGTCGAGGCCGCTACAGTCGCCGAGCAACCGCGCGCTCGCCGTGCGGAACGGTAAGTCGGAAGAGCGTGCAGGTATTCGCGGCCGGTGCGAGGGCAGTCGGCGAGACTTACTCCTGAGAAATGGGCGACGATTGTCGACGGTCCAGGTTTGGCGACTCAAAGACTGGTCGACGTGAGGCGAAATAGAGCAGGCGGGCCTAGTGTTAGCCGCCGAGAAGCATGGATCTGCTAAGTATGGACTTTGTCAAGAAAGCGAGGGTAGGAGCCTCCCCGGGCAGCCTTAGCGCGCTTTACTCGGCAGATCCACATCCCGCGCTCTGCGCCTTACATAGCCTTGCCCTATTCCCGCAAGGCTCGCATCCTTTCCGGCTCTTGTCTTCCCGACTTTCCCCCAACTTGCCTTCCGTCCTTCCGCCTCCCCCCCGCTCCGCGCTCTTTCCGTTCAGCGCCAAGTGCGCGCTCATGGCGTCTCGCGCGCAGCAGCTGAGGGGGATTCTGCGCCGCACAAGGCGGGCGTGCGCCACCGCCACGTCACGGGATTCGCTGCTCTCTGCCACGTGGCAGCACGCGGCTGCCTCGGATGGAGCACTGGTAGCTACCACCCGTGCACATGGTGTGCCGGTCCCTAGCACAGGGGGCATTGCAGGAGGAGGGGGGGCAGGGGGAGCAGGAGGAGCAGGAGGAGCAGGAGGAGCAGGAGGAGCAGGAGGAGGAGGAGGAGGAGCAGCGGCATTTCTAGAGCCAGCAGAGGTGGTCGGTTGGCATATACGGCCAAATGCATCCGCCCATGGGTGGCTGGGAGCTGTGGAGTCCACGCACCAGCCATTCCCCCCGGCACATATGACCGCCTCCCCCGTGCTGCTCTGTAAACCACATCCCGCGGGTGCACTGCGCCCGCGGCCCTTGAACCGGTGGCTCCAGACTCGGTGCGCAGCCGCTATTCACACGCGGGCGCAGCCCCAACAACACACTGCCAAGCTGCTTCTCTGCTTGCCACGTGGCATGCAGCCGGTACTGCGGCCAGCAGTAGCTGCTGGTGGTGCAGAAGTCCAAGTGCAGCAGGTGAGGGGCTGTGAGGGGTGACGGCAGGTGGTGCTGCTGTGGAAAGCGAGAGGCCGTGTGCCATGTGTGAAGCAGCGAGGCTGATGGCAAGGCAAAACGACTGGTTTTGAGGCGCCTCAAAACTAGACTTCTATCACGCTGCTTTTGAGGCGCCTCAAAGCGAGGCTGATGGCAAGGCAAAACGACCGGTGGGGTGAGCGACTGTTGGTGTGAGGGACGGCTCTGGTTGATGACAGTAGTTGGTTGGTTGCTGTGAGGTAGAGTGTGAATGCCTAAGTGGCCCTGCTTCTCCCCCTTGTCCCCACCATGCATGCCATGCCCCTCCCCATGTTCTCCCAGCAGCAGCATCGGTGGTACGCCAGCAGCAGGCAGGGCATCAGCAGCAAGGACGGCAGCAAGGACGGCAGCAAGGAGAGTGGCAGCAGCAGCGGGGGGCGGCAGGTGGTGCGGGCGGAGGAGGAGGACGTGTTCAGCAGCATCACGGACAAGATCCCCGAGCGCCCCGTGTCTGCCGCGGAGGGCGCGTCGTACTCGCTGGTCATCCTGGCGGCGCTGGCCGTGGCGGCGGGCGCCGCCTACTTTGTGGTCAAGGAGCTGCTGCTGGAGCCCAAGGAGTGAGCGCACAGGGCAGCAGGGGGGGACGGGGGGGGAGGGGGGGTCAAAAGGTCTGGGATGGGTTTTAGTGAGTGGATGCATGTTGGGCTTGACTGTGTTGCATGGGTGCCATGTGCTCGTCGTGCCCTGTACTGAGGATCATGTGTTTGGTATTTGTCTTGCATTTGCCTCCTCAGGTACAAGGTTTTCAACAAGGCACTTCAGCGCGTTCAAAACGACCCTCAGGTGCGCCACCTCCACTCTTGTGCGCCTCTTCGTCCCACTCTTCTCTGCACTTTTTTCTCTTTGCTGCTCCATTTCCAGTGCCACATCTGCCCACCGCGTCAGCCTGTGTTCCACATCCATGCCCTCAGTTCCTCCTCCCCGTGCGCACCAGGTGGTATCGCGGCTGGGGTCGCCCATCACGGGGTATGGGCAGGAGAGCAGGAACCGGGCGGCAAGGCAGCGAATCAGCCACCGCGTGTGGAAGGATGAGGAGGGGGTGGAGCGCATCCAGGTACACACGCCAGATTGCCAATATCTCTCCCCTCCACCCCACCACGCACGTGTAAAAATAATATTCCCATCCCTTATCCTTGAGCTCAGCCGCTCACCTTATCAACTTGTGTTGCCTCGTATTGCTCCGACTGCATTCAAAGGTCTCACCATCTCCTTTCCATGCTGACTGGTGGCAGGTTCAATTCCACATCCGAGGTACAGGGGGGACAGGCCTTGTGCATGCAGAGATGTTCAAAGACAGTGATGACGGTGGAGCCTGGAAATTTACGTACCTTCTTGTTGATGTAACGAGCCCATCTCCCGCCCGGCTCATGTTGGAGTCATATGTTCCAACGTAATGTTGTGAAAACGGTGTGACTTGTAGCCACATTGCAGGCCAAAATCCATTTCTATTCGCTCTTCAGGACTTAGCATTGCAAATTGCCGTTCAGTTGATGTTTTGTATTGTTGCAAGTGTGTGGACAAAGTAATTGTATCTTCTTACAAGCATGTGGAATGATTTGTCGTGTTAAGAATATTATCAGCTACTGTAGGTAATAACGGAGCAGTGTCCAGCGGCGCAGTCTCTTCGTGGCTCAGGTAATCAGAAGCTGGGTTTGCCTCTTGAGCCTTTCGAGCCGCTCTAATATTTCGCCCCTCAGAAATTTTCAACAAACCCCGCCAAACCGGCAACTCAACCTGACAGTGCCACGGTGGATCCCACATCCCTTCGCCAATCGGAAATGCCGCGACTTGACGGTGCTGTGAGTGTCTGTCGCCAGAAAAATTCGAACATCGCTTGCTTTGGGCTGGTCGCGGTTCGTCATTGCCCCATTAGCGCGACCCGGATGTGGATTGCTCCGAGACCATCTTTCCCCCATCTCCGCCTCCCCCAGCCTCGAAGTTCTCCCAAATGATCAGTTTTGAACTCTGCAGAGCTCCCAGCCAGGCGGACGTATGTGGAGGCGCGGGGAACTGACTTCTGGAAAATGCGGAGGGCAGCGGGGGGCAGCGGCAGGGGCGCAGGCGATCAGAACGGCTTGATGGGCGGATGGAGGGGAGCCCTGTGAGTCAGGCGTTGGCATCAGGCGAGGCCCGGCAGACTCGAGGCAGGCAGCAGCGCCCAGCACGCAGGGCAGGCAGCTGGCTGGGTTCAGTTCAGTCCCTCGGAGCACCAGAGGCGAACAGCGAGTGGAGCCGCTTGGCCCATCGCCGTCGACTTTTGATGGTTCGAGAATTCGCAGTGCGACGGGCGTGTGGCGTGGTCGCATGGGCCAGAGCATACGGTGGTAGCAGAGCAGCCATGCCCAGGACTCAGGAGCACGGCGCTTTGCAGCTCCCACATATGCCTGCCTCTGCGCTACATGTATGATACAGTCGATTCACCTAACTCCCACGCTAACTATGCTGTGAGGGCTAGTGTCGTGCTTGCGAATTGCCTGGTCAGCGCGGCCACCCAAAGGAACGACGCGACATTGAAAGTGCAAGTCATCCGGCGCTAAAGATTTAGTTTCGCGAGTTGACTTTCTAGTAATAGCTCGAGCAGCCAGGTCTGGCTCGCTAATTCCGTGCAGCACCGCTGGTCTAGCAGCGGTCGCGTTTCCAGTCCCTTGAACCATATCTTAGTGATCGTCCCGTGTGGCAGCGCAGGTGATGGGTCCCAGTATCGCCAGCCCCATTACGCTCCCCTCTCCTTCGCTAGCGCAGTCCGCCTGTAGGGCTCCGCGCCCCGCGGGAACGGGCCATAGCGACGTCTTTAGTCCTCTCGACGCCGCGTCGCTAGGCCCGTCCGTATCGCAGTCAGAATCCATGGACATGCGGGGAACACACGCTAGTGCTGACGTGGACAACGAGAGCAACGACCGGTGGCAGCAGTGGCAGGAGGAGCGACAGCGGGAGACGTCCAGCGCGCTCGAGCCGACGCCTAAGAGGTTACGCGGCTCGTACCGCTGCCGTCGCTGCGGTCAGCCTAAGAAGGGTCACGTGTGCCCGCTGACGTCACCGTCTCCCGCACCGCCGTACGCGCGTCGCCCGTGTCAGTCCAACCCGCACCATGCGAACACTAACTCCCATCCACCTCACCCCTCGTCGTCCGTCGGTTGTGGTGATCCCGCGTGCGGCGGTGCGTGCGGCAACTCCCGCGACTGCGGTTTCGATTCCCCCAGCGGGATCACCCGCGCGGAAATGCGCAAGCCCGCGTCGTGCAGCATGGGCAACATGCAGCCGCTGCGCCTCCCCGATGCCTCCGCCGGGCCCGCCGACTCCGCCACCGCCTACACCGCGGATGGCGGACGCTCCACCGCGTGCCACGGCGGGCCCAACGCGCATATCAGTCTCACCGCGCCCGCTCTCACCGCGTCGTGCCGCACCCTCCCCAGGTACTGCCGCTAGGAGAGGGACCTGTTCAGTCGATCAGCGATACTTTTTCGCCAATGGCAAATTCCAAGGCCGTAGTTTGATTATGCGACGCCATGAGTTCAACCCTGCTTCATCGTTTCGCCACTCGTCCGTTCCCCTCGTAACTGGCCATATTCAGACGTATCGCCGCGCCATGGCCCGTAATGGGACTGCGTCTGGCTCCTGCTTGCACCCTCATGCTCCTTCTCTTCCCGTCCTCGCCCTCCGGTTCCCGTCCCTCCCATCCCCAGCCGCAGCGGCATGTCGGACTCTAACTTCTCCTTCCCCCCCGCGCACACTCACGCCCACGGGCACGGCGCCATCACGTCGAGAATGGCGCCACATTGCTCCTCCCCGCACAGCCTTCCGCCGCTCTCGCATCCCGCCACCACCCAATCCGGCCTCCGCCCTGCGCCCTCTGGGTGAGTCCGCTGCTGCTGCTCGAGTCAAGTCATCCAGTGCGTTCCACCTTTCAGGTCTCAATTAGTCTGCTGCCCGGGCTGTTTCCTGTTTCCGGTGTTCTGACGTCACGCTCTGGTGTTTCCGACGTGCTGGCGTCATGCAGGGTGAGCGGGTCGGCAGCGGCGGCGTCGGTGCGGCCAGCAGTGCAGAGGAGTCCGCAGGACATGTGCATGCTCAACATCCTCGCTAAGGTACGCGCTGCTGCCTTGCGGTCCCTCCTTTCCCTCCTTTCCCTCCTTTCCCTCCTTTCCCTCCTTTCCCTCCTTTCACTCCTTTCCCTCCTTTCCCTCCTTTCCCTCCTTTCCCTCCTTTCCCTCCTTTCCCTCCGCTTCTCTCTCTTTCTTCCGTTTATCCCTGTTTCTCGCATTCATGCTCGTCGTGGTTTCCATGCGCCGCCACAACCGGCGCAGCACAGCCTCACTCGCCCATCCTGTGCCCTCCCCTCCTCTCAGCTCCCCCCGCGCGACCTGTTGAGTGCGAGCAGCTGCTGTCGGCGGTGGCGGCGGCTGGCGGGGGAGATCTGGGGGCACGTAGAGGCGGCGGCGCTGTCGCTGGACGCCACACCGTCGCTCGCCACGGACGCGCTGGTCTACGTGCCCTTCATGCTGCGGCGCTGCCCGCGCCTCGTGCACCTCTCGCTGCAAGCCGCCAGGTACGGAGTGCCCTTGTCGCGATGACGTGCCCCGTCTGCTGGTCGCCGCTTTCGCCTTCCGCCTTTCGACGATTGGTGTTGCTTGACCAGCGCCAGTCAGCGCCTTCCAGTTCCTCTCGCTGCCAGTTGCCGCGCTGCTCACGCCGCCCTCCCTCCCTGCCGTCGCTCAATCTCCCCTCCTGTCGCCCACTCCTTTTCCTCGTCGTCTGTCGCCAGATGCGTGGACGATCGCCTGCTGCATCGCATAGCCGCGGAGCAGCCCAATCTGGAGTCGCTCGTCATTCGCACGGCGCCCAGCGTCGCATGCCACGTCACGGAGTGAGTTGATTCGCGCATGCCACGTCACGGAGTGAGTTGATTGTTGCATGTCACGTCACGCTTATTCACACGCCGTCTCTGCTCCTTACTCACCACCTTCCGTCTTCCGTCTCCGTCTCCTCCATCCTACCTCTCCCCCCCCCGGCAGCAACGGCATGGCTGCTCTGCTGCACGGCTGCCCGTCGCTGCGCGCCGTTGACGTCGACGGCTGCATCGCGCTGCCGTCGCTCACCGTCGCCTCGCAATCGTAAGCGTCGCCGCATGGCATTCGCGTCGGGCTAGCTGTGCGCGGTATGGCCTGGTCCGTGCGCCATCGCCCCCTGTTCCTCTCCAACGGCTCATCCGCCCTCCCCGTCCTGCCGTCGTGCCTCGTCCGCTCACTCGCCTTGCAGCATTCCCCACTGCGCCACGCTCTCCCTCTCCCCTGCTCGACTCACACAGTTTCCTTCCTCGTTCTTCTTTCCCCCTGTCCGTCCTCCCTCCCCCTTTTCCGCCCAGCCTCACCGCGCTCACAGTGTCGGCGTGCGCGCGCCTTTCGCGCCTCTCCCTCGCCTGCCCCGCGCTGCACCACCTCTCCCTCTCGCTCCTCCCCGCCCCCGCCCCGCCCTCCGCCGCTCCGCCCGCGCCCGCATGCTCCCAGACGCACGCGCATGGGGGGGCGCACATGGGCGGAGACCCCGCGCACGCGGAGGCGGTGATAAGCCACGTGGCGAGTCTTGCGTCGCCGCTCGACCGCCTGCACGTCGCGTCGCCGTACACCACCGATGCGGTATGTGCCGCCCCTAGCGCTCTCGTACCCTCGTCCCGCACTCGTTAGTCACAAGGGCAGTGCCCTTGTACAAGGTGCCAGCTCGCGCCCGGCCGCGCTCTCGTCGCGTCGTGGTGGGGCTGTCATTGTCTCCCGCAGCTCCCGCTGTCCCGCTGTCACCCTCCTCGCCCCGCCTGCCGCACTCCTCCCGTTCTGCCAAAGCGCTCATTCTGTGCCGCCCGCTCCGTGCCCCCTCCCCTTGTGCGCGCAGATGGTGGCGGCGCTGGTGCGAACGCACGGGCAGTCGCTCTGCGCGCTCTCCCTCACGCACTCGCACGCCCTCACCGATGGTACGACCGCCCTCCCGCGCACTCGCGCACTGCTGCCACCACTCGCTTCCTCAACCCCTCCCGTGTTCGCTCCTCCCCATCACATCCACAAGCACCTCCCTTCCACTCCCACTCACCCATCCTTTCTTCCCTCCTATACGCTGCGCTGCCCCCCCTCCCGTGCCCCCCCCCAGAGGGCGTGGCGGCCATCTGTCGCAGCTGCCCGCATCTGCAGCACCTCGACCTCAGCGCCTCGCCCAACCTCTCCGACGCCGCCCTGCACGCCATCAGGTGAGCCGCTGCTGCCGTCAGGTGCTCCTCTCAGGTGGGCCTCTGTTGCCATCAGGTGATCATCAGGTGCTATCAGCTGAGCGCCTCTCTCCTTCTCACACCACTCACCAATTCTCTGTCCCTTTTCCGCACCCCCCCTCCCCCTCTCCCCGCAGTGCCTCGCTCTCCCACTCCCTCACGCACCTCCTGCTCGCCGCCTGCCCTGCCATCACGCCACGTGGCGTGCAGGCATTGGTGCAGCGGCTGCCGCATCTGGAGCTCCTAGACGTGGGGCGCTCGCTGGTCGCCCGCCCGCCCTCGCCCTCCCCCACCCTCGCCAGCGCTGCTAGCACCACCAGCGCCATGGGCGCAGGAGCCATGGCGGATGGGTGGAGGGGGAATAATGGGGGAGGGTTCGGGGGGAGCATGGGCGGGGGTATGGGCAGTGGGGACGCGCAGGGGCAGCAGTGGGGGGACATGGGGATGCAGGAGGAGATGGGCTTAGGGATGGGCATGGGGGGCAGCAACGGGTACATGGGCGGCATGGATGGTGCTGCCATGGGGGCATCGACCGCAGCAACAGCCACAGCAAGCGAAGCCGCAGCAGGAGGGGAGGGGCAGCAGGTGGAGCTGAGGAGCAGCAGCCTGAGGAAGCTCAGCCTGTGGGGATGCTCGCTGCTGCAGGTGAGACACGCACTGCTGGCTTGTGAGGGTGCGAGTCGATAGGATGAGGATGTGAGAGTGGTCCTTTGCTGCTCCATGCCTTGCTGGTCAATGGTCTGTGCGATGAGAGACTACCATGCAGCCCCATGGTCCGTCCTTAACCCCCCTCCTCCCATACCTTCTCCCCTTGCCTGCACCCCGTCAGACACTTGTCCTGGACTGCCCGCAGCTGGAGCACCTCAATGTGAACCTCTGCACCGCACTGCACCCATCTGCGTATGGCTGCCACCTGAACTGCCCCTCTCTTCGGTTCATCCTGGCCGTTGGATGCCCCGTGGCCCCCCACGTCCTGCTGAGGGCCAGATGCCTGGCTGATGAGACGCCCTCCCCCACCACCTGCATGGGTGGCGCCATGGGGGGTGCCATGGGGGATGGCATGGGTGATGGCATGGGGGGTGATATAGGTGATGGCATGGGTGATGGTATGGGGGGTGATATGGGTGATGGTATGGGTGATGGCATGGGGGGTGACATGGGGGGTGACATGGGGGTGATATGGGCGATGGCATGGGTGATGGTATGGGGGGCGACATGGGTGAAGGCATGGATCCATCCCTGAGCGCATACATGGGAGATGGCATGGTGCATGCACAACCAAGTGCATGGGAAGCCCCTCCCGACACACAAGCAGGGGATGATGGCATGGGGAATGCCATGGGGAATGGCATGGTTGATGGAAACGACATGGGGAATGGAAGCACGTACTGCCACACGGGAAATGGCATGGTGGGTGAGGGCGCACAGGCGCCATCCCACATGCACATGCAGCAGGTGCCGGTGCAGGTGCAACCACACATGCACTCGCACTCACATGGGCACATGCACATGGGGGGGCAGATGCAGCAGCAGGGGCAGGTGATGGTGTGGGAGTGAGAGTGGGACTCGGACCCCTCTACTTGGCTGGTCTTCCCAGCTGCAGTGAACTGGCATGGTGACACATGTAGGAACGGTGGTGGGTGTAGCTGTGAGGATGATGGGTGTCATGCTGGTGGCATGAAAGTCGGCCTAGAGACTTTTCAAAGCTGGATCGCATATAAAGACCAAATGGCATTGGCGCTAAGCTGCGTAGTGCAAGGATGCTTACATAGGACCTTAGTCAATAGGTAGCTATAGCTTTCATGAAAGGTAGTTGCTTGCTGCCATCTGCTAATTTTTGTCATTTACTTTCTTTTGCACCATATGTACACCTACGGTACTCAGTATATTACTTGTGCATCAGACCCACCATTAGCTGCCGCATCAACGTAGGACTAGGACAGCTCTTGGGAGCTCCAGCATCGGATCAGACCCGCCGTTATCAGGAGCAAGAGCCTGGCTGGAACCCTTCACTTCTAGGCTGTTGCTTGGAAAAGGCTCTCAGAGGAACGAATTGGTTAGAATGAGAGTTACAGGGTAGGGGCAGTGTTTGACACACCACCTAGGCTAGATGAGGGGCAGTGCAGGGCAAGAGACACGCAGCTCAAGGTGGCACTACTAGTCCAACCTCTGAGGCAAGGGTCCGAAGACCAGTCAGCAAGAGTACAAACAAGAGGCAACCCGGGCGGCACTACTAGTCCAGCCACTGGGAAAAGAGCCACACGGCCTGTCAAGATAATATAAAGAGCATTACATAATCAGGGTACTAGCAGGTGAGAAGCTACAGGAAATAGACCAAGCTGTACACAGCGTCGCTGATGATCTTTAAGCGGAAGCGCTTTCGTAAAGATATCAGCTGTGTTGGCACATAAGGCCAAGTGTACTACTCGAGCCTGGTGGCGCTGCTGTAGCTCGCGCAGGAGGAAGTACCGCAGCTAAATGTGCTTCGCCCTGCCCTCTAGTCGAGGCTCCTGACACATGAGGATCATGGACCTGTTGTCATCGTACAGGACGGGGGCAGAGCTAGGCCGCTTACCTAAGTCTGTGAGCAAGAAAGTAAGCCAGCGGAGCTCCTGTGCCGCCATGGCACCAGCGTAGATCTCAGCCTCATAGCTAGACTGGGCAACAGACGACGAGCGGGCGGACCTCCATGAGATCTCACATGCACCAGGCTAAAGTAGTAGTCCTGGGAGGACCTGAGAGTCTCAGCGTCGTCTGCCCACGAAGCGTCTATATGCCCTGTAAGGACCACAGGCCTGCGTCCTCTTAGCACTAGCCCCATGCCTGATGTACTTGCTAGATAACGCAAAACCCTCTTAGCGGCCGACCAGTGCTGTGGTCGGTGTCCGCCTGTGGCCACAAAGCGAGCCAGGATGCTAAGAGGGTATGCGAGATCTGAACGAGTGCAAGTCATCAGGTACATGAGGCAACCCACCAGCTCTGCGTAAGGACCACTAGGCTCTACAAAATCCTTAGGGACTGGAGCCGAGAGCCTGTGATCTACAGGCAGAGGTGTGGGCTGTGCGAAGGAGAGCTGAAGATCGAACCTCTGAAGGACATGGCGCACCAAGTGTGACCGTGTGAGAGTGATGGTGCGCGCTGCTCTGTCCCTGGAAATCTGCAGGCCAAGGTAGCGGCGCATCTCTCCTAGGTCAGTACAGGTGTGTCTCCTCGGCAGCTCAGCCTTCATTGGGGCTAGTGCATCTCTGTCTACAGTAGCGAAGACCAGATCGTCTACGTAGACAAGGATGTAGAACGGGGTCTGGCCTGAACAAAAAAAGAGCAAAGGGTCTGCAGAGGACGGGAAGAATTGCAGGTCAGCTAACATAGCACGAAGCGTGTTGTGCCACTCGCTTGGCACCTGCCTCGGGCCGTAAACCGGACGCCGGATAAGCCATTGGGTCCCTAGGGCGAACGTGCCGGTGAAGCCTAGCGAGCGACGCAGGTAGACCTGCTCGTGTAGACTGCCCTAAAGAAACGTTGTCGAGAAATCGAGAGAGTGCAGCTCTAATAATACTGTGCTGCTACGTATAACAGCGCCCAAAGAGTAGTCATATCCGGCGTTGGGGCGAAGGTCAGAAAGAAGTCAACACCCTCGCGCTGACTGAAGCCTCTAGCAACGTAGCGCGCCTTGAACACCGGCGACTCTCTAGGAGGGCGCTCCACCTTGAAGAGCCACCGGCCATCGACTACGTTCAACCCAGGTGGGGGAACTGCGTCGATGTAGGTACCGGTGGATCTCCAAGATGCCATCTCCACGCCCATGGCAGCTATCCACTGAGAGGCCCACAGTCCTGAGGTTGCCTCCGCGTAAATGCGAGGGGTCGGGATGTCAAAGGCGTCTGGGTCCCCCTCAAGGACTAGCAGCATGGAGCAGAGGTGAGGCACGACCTTGTACAGGAAAGCAAGCTCATGCTGCCGTTAATCCATGACATCACTACCAAGGGCAGGAGCACCCCCGACGGACAGAGAACGGGTAGGGTCAGAGACCAGAGCAGTGGCATAGTCAACGCGGCGGGAAGAGGCAAAGTCAGTGAGGGCAGCAACAAGAGCATCAAGACTGGAGACAGGAACGGACAGGTCGGTAACAAGGGAGGCAAGGACCCGAGGGACAAGAGGACGAGTGGCACGGGGGAAGTTAGACAGTGGAGGCGGAGCGACAACAAGCGACGACGGAGGAGGCGACGGGAGGAGGGGAGGACGAGACGCATGGGACCGAAGCAACATAGGGTGAGAGCGCTGAACAGGAGAGTCAGGACAAGCACGAGAGGGACGGCGAGACCAGAAGTGGGACGGAGGCGTCGGGTCAGGAGACACAGGAGGAGACACAGGAGGAGAACGAGGGGGGAAACGAGCCAGAGACGGGTCCTGCGGAGGAAACACAGGGCCATGGACAGGCGGGGGAGGCACATGCAGGCGGTCAGGGGAGGGAAGACCGAGGAGGCGAAGGGCAGACACAGGTGACGACTGCTGCTACGGTGCCACACCAACACCAGAATCTCGAGCTGCACCATGGCTACCCCCGGGACGCTCCACGACAGCATCCCCAGAACAAGAACCCTCTCGAGCACCGGTGCCACCCCTAGGACCGCCGGGACAAGCCACGACAGTAACCCCAGGACTAGCACCCCTAGAGCCAGCACCCCCAGAAGGAGAACCCTCTCCAGCACCGGTGCCACCCCCAAAACCGTTATGACAAGCCACGACCGTACCCCTAGGACTAGCGCCCTCCTCAACGCCCGCACCCCTAGAGCTCGCGGACCCCTACGGCGGCTGCTGCTGCAGCGACGGTGACAACGGCTGCTGCTGCGGCGGCGATGGCGGCGACTACTACTGCGGCTGCGGCGACGACGACGGCTGCTGCGGCAACGGCGGAGGAGGAGACACCGGGGCAGAGACAAGCGGCAAAACCGAAGCCACGGGCCCCCCAGAGTCAGCCGACTCCTCCACCGGGACAACCGACGGAAAGGGAGATGCGTGAGACACACCAGACGAGGCAGGATGGGGAGGAAGAGAGGCAGGGGCTACCAGGAGAGCGGGGACCAGGAACAGGGGCGGGGCAACTGGGAGACTGCAGTAAGGAAATCGCGTATAGAAGGAGACACACTCGTAAAAAGTGACGTCACGAGAGTGAAAGAAGCAGTGAGACGGCGGGTGGTAAAAGTGCTAGTCAGACGCGTCTAGAGGGAAACCAAGGAAGACACAAGGGGCGGTGCGGGCAGTGAGCTTGTCCGTGCCAGAGGCACGAACGTGAGCAAGACACCTGGGACGTGGAATGCAGATGCGTCACCAGGGAACCCGGTCTAGAGAAGGGTCGGCGAAACCTGCGGCCGCTGGGAGTGTGGCCACAGGTTAAGCTTGTGAGCGGCGTAGCGAACAGCGAACGGCCACAGAAAATGGGGTGCATTGGCATGGATCATGGAGGTACGAGCCACCTCCATGACCAAACCGATGCGTCGCTTAACGACAGCATTCTGCTGCGGGGAGTCCGGCAGGGTGTACGACTGGGTGATGCCCTCCGCACGACAGAACTGGCCAAGCCGACCAGAGACAAACTCGCTGCCACGGTCCGAGTAAAGACGCAGCACAGGGAGGCCGCGGTGGACTCGAGCTACGACCCACACGATAAGAACGTCAAGCGCGTCGGCCTTTCACTCCAAGGGAAACACCGTGGTGTAGCGTGTGCAGTCTTCGATAAGCACTAGAAAGTAGCGCTCCCGACGCGGCCCAGGGACGTGGGCTAGGCCCCAAACGTGCAGGTGCAGGGTCTGGAGTGGCGCAGTGGTAGGGGGAAGCGAGGAGGAGTGAGGAGCCCGGTGCAGTCGGCCCTCGACGCAAGGCGTGCACGGCGGCGCAGGCGAGGGAGGGAGGGCAGGGAGCGACACAGGAAGACCGAAGACAATGCCGTGATGGGACATGTGATGCAGACGCGGGAGTGCGGGGTGACGTAGGCGGTGGTGCCTCAGCAGCGATGGGTGGGTGAGCGATCGATACGAGCAAGCTGCAGGAACCTGGGAGGACGCGGCAACCTGAGGGAACGCTCCTACCGGAAGGGACGAGGTGTCTAGAGTGAACAGGCCAGACACGGGGTCCCGGGGGAACGTGGTGAGGGGTGCACCAGTGGCGGCCTCGGTACAGACTGCGTATCGCTCGTGTCCAGGGAACGTAGTGGTGACGTCGAGGTCCTGAAGACAGCTGACACCAACTAGGTTCCTGGAGAACGAGGGGATGTGCAAGCCTGTAAAAGAGCTCGAGGGAACCGCCGGACAGGGAAGGGTAGTGGAACCACGGGCAACTACCGAATCTGAGGAGGGGTCAGCAAGCACTATAGCTGCAGGGGCGGCAAGCGGCGTGAGCGCGGTGTGGTCGCGAAAGAAGCAGGTGGACGCACCAGAGTCTAGCGTGAACGAGAGCTCGGTGGTAGCGGCCGCAGGCTGAGGAGCTAGCGTGGAGCCGAAGCTAAACAAGGCAGGTCATCCTACACCTAACGCAGCAGGGGAACGCAGACTACACTCAGTGGACAAACCTACACTAGGCAACACCGGGTAATAGGGTCCAGTCACACTAGAGTCATCAGCATACAGGACATACATAGCAGACCTAATCTGATCCATGTCAAGCTCAAAGACAGGCACACGGCGACGCACCAGGGCGTACCTGTCAGGGGGGTCTGATGTGGGGCCGAAGCGGAGACGTAAGAGGTCGTCGAGGCGGCGGCAGCAGCGGGCGGCGGTGTGACCGGGACGGTCGCGGACAGTGCCGCGACGGGGGCCGAAATGAAGCTGGTACTGGCAGGTGACCTCACTGGAGCCGCCACCCGACACCGAGCTGTG